GTAATCAACTTGCTGGAGTAATTCCATAATTGCCGTAAATTATATTCATGTCAATTCTCAGTTCAACTAATGCAAATTAAATATTTTCAGCTTTGGGAGGTCAAACTAGATGCTTGCGCCAAACATGTAACTTTTCTTTAATTATTGAGTATGTACCTATGTACATTAAACCAATTTTATTAGATTGTCGGATAAGTTGAACTAAATACACGCAACACACGTATGTACATAAAACGCAACATGTATGTATCTATATAAACAAATAAATTTGTAAAATAAATCCTTCCTCTAATTTATCTATCTAAGAAACAGACCTAATTTAAACATAAATTTGGTCCGCTGGGCGCTAAGCGCCAAGCTTACACCGCTAATCCTAAGCTTACATACGTAGCAGTAATATTGACAAATTTAAGAGACACGAAGATGTGGGAGACAGGCACTGACTGAGAATTAGATAGTTACTACTCGGACTGACAATAAAAGTAAAGCCTTATCAAGAAGACTTGGTCTCAATATATGTAACTCTTTTAAATCTGATAAGCACTTTAATATTACAAATTCTGATAATCATAAACTAAAATAACTTCAAGCTTTTTGTTAAACAACTCAAAAATTTACTTCACCATCCTAGAATTAGTTTTCAGACTTGACTATGCAGATACTTCAGTGTTTTGCCTTTTCATCAACTAATCGCACATTCAATAAATTATTCAAGGACAGTGAGCACGAACTTCTTAAATCTTATGTATCACACGCTCAGCTCTTAGCAGGCAAAAGTAAGAGCGCAGATAGCTCAACCAATATTTATATTTTAACTCCATGCAATTATGCTAATTAAAACAGGTACATACAATGTACCATCTTCGTGAACCCTAAATATCCTTAGGGAGACAATTTTCTTACCTTTCAAATAAAAGCAAGCATGCTACCATATTGTAGATTTGATTTAGTTCCCTTGGGCTTTAACATATTTTGCACGGAGACAAATCGGACATAAGATAGATATCCGGGGTATGTAACTTATCCCCCAGTTCTCATTTTGGTATCATATCCAGTGGGTAGCAGGCTCGGCATAATTCGTAAACAACTTACTCTGATAACTGTGCACCCATGCATAAAAATGGTTGCTTTACTCATGGAATTAGAAACTATACTTTACTCAACCTGGGAAATTTGAGTAGGAAAATTTCCAGAAACTTTGTGCTAACTTTCATCTGCTTTACACAATCCGTCTACATACATACGTACACATCCACATATTTTTTCATCGTACATATTTGCATTTCTTAAACTCTTTGCAACCTTGGTTTTGCTAAGTGACTTCTTCCACATTAGTTTCCTCTCGTATTTTCTATAAATTTTAAAGGGTCTACTGCAATCCAGCAAAAAATATACAACTGCGCACAATGACCCAATTAAATCATCCTCACTCGACCTTTCTGGTGCTGTATTGCACGGTAAATTTTATTTCAATCGAATCCACGACGTCGTTACCCGTAACAAATTTGGCATCTGTCCTCTCGCCCAACACTACTTGTCGACATCACCTCGTCTTCAACAATATTTCCACCTCGGACTTACCAACTACTCGTAACGTTCCACTTACACTGACCAAACGAATCTATCCAATCGATTTTAAGCCGTGGGTCACCAAAAACAATACCCAATTACGACTCGATCTCCTCCAAAATAAGGGCTGGCTTTGTGAAATCGTGATTTTGTTTGTCACCATAAATTCGTCAGATTTTACAAAATCCCACCAAAATTCCTTAGCAGATTGGATTCTAACTCAAATAATAGACTACTTAAGCCTAAACAGGAATTACGGGTTGAAACTTTATCCGGATCATTTTTACTTTATCCTATTTCCAAGCAGCTACAAAATACTGGAATCCCACATGAATTCCCCCTTGTACTCACTCATTCTCTTGCATCGACTGCATTGCCCGTTGAAATTTGCGGTGTTGCTATTTCAGCCTGAAAATATGGTTACATCCTGTTACCCAAAAGGCATTTATCCAATTCTACAAAACTTTGCCTGCACTACTGAAATTTCAAATAAGGATACAATTTTATTCACCCCTTTCAACAACCCGACAAAATTGGAGAAGAATTGGGTCGACTCTTCCGATAAACACCCCATTTCAGAAATCTTGTTCACCACGGCTTTAAGTAAACTTAACGCAACTCGACATTTCCAGACCCCTCTAATGAGACAAGAGTGCTACCCAATTCCCCCTGAACGTTGTCTCTATCCTTCGTATTTCTACGGTAGTACAGCAGTGATTCGTTACTTTGAGTACAGCATGCAGTTTGCTATCATAACTTTTACGGGTTTCTCATTTTTTTCTTGTTCCCACTTTTCGAGGGGGATTTCATTTTCCTTGTATTTCGCTCCTTTCGACCCAGCCGTGTGGATTGTAACGCTGGTCATGATTTTCTTATCATGTTGCCTCATTTCATTAGGGTTTTACATTTTGAACAAGCAATTCTATCCGCTGAAATTATTCTTATACTTTTTCGGCCTCCTGATCGACGAAGTGAGCAACCTGCCCACAAAACTCAGCACTTTTCTACCCTTCAGATTCTTAAGTATTCCCTGGCTCCTTGTCGGCATGCTGCTCAGCACGTGCTACCTGAGTATTTTCATCACAAATTTAAATTCACCACTTCCTGGGGAACGACTCGATAAGTATGAAGTAATTTTTTGTCAGGATAAATCTCAAACAATGATAAAGCCCAATATGGTCAAAGACCGATATCGCACATGGCGTGACTGGGACGGCTACCAAGGCGCGATTTTAAGAAACGTTTCGCTTGCTAGGAGTTTGGGGGCATTCTGCTACACGATTTTGTCTCACTTTGAACAATCCGATGGGTATCGGCTGCTGGAAAGAAATTCATTTTGGGATTACGTATTTCCCATATTCCTTGATGAACTGCTTGATTCATCGATGAACTTGCAAAATGATATGTATGATCCGACATTTGCCAGAATTCCTAGAATTTATACCCAGAAGTTTTTGCGATTACTGTATTCCATGCTGAATCCAAAGATTCGCTGGTATCCGGAGAAATTGAAATTTTCCGACCGTTTCAATGCCACCCGTGTAAATGGGATTATCGAAGAAGATCTTTTGAGATGTGATAGATCAGCTTATATGGGACCGTCGAGTCAGGTCGAATCCTACCATGAATTTGTCAAGAGAAATTATCCCGCTAAAAAGTGGTATCGTGGAGAGAAAACAATATTTGAAGGTCCGATCGGATTTAGGTTTGATGTTTGGCGAGAATCACGGATGGTGCAGTATTTTAAATTGTTTTCTGCTTCAGGGATTTATAACCGGGTGGCTGGTCAGGTTAGTCTGAACGCGACAATCTTACGCGAAAGGAAGGCGAAATTGGGAAAGAATTGGAAATTTCGCTATGCAATGACCTCATTTCAAGTGGTCAGGCTAGGTGACAGTATTCAAACTATTTTCATTCTACTCGTCACCTGTCTGGCGGCTTGTTTGTGTTTGGCGGTTATCGAGTATGTGAAACACAATAAGGCAAATATCGCGCGCTGGGTTAAATTAATTTGGGGAGGATGTTTTAAAATTATGAAAAAATGCAGGCGTCACGGTAAAATACTGGGTAGAATTAAGGTACAGTGTAGTATTCCAGGGATGAATAACTATGGTGCCTCATAATCATGCAATCGAACAGTATTTCAGGACTGGCGAAGACGATGTTAGATGTTTCTTCATTGGGTTAAATTAACGGCGGCGTGTTTAGGCGTGTTTCCAAGCTCGTGTACCCTTGTTCTCGTTTAAAGCAACTATGTAGCGTAGAATTGAGGGGGAATTGTACGGAAATTTCAGCCGAGAAGAGAAACTTGTTGAATAGGACATTTAAGAGGAAGGGAAATTGATGAAGCTTGACATACATAATTATTTATTTAGTACAAGAAGCAGCGTACATATGTACCATAATTACTTCCTATGAATATATATATTTAGTCACGTGACACTCACTACACGTCACACGTTTACATGTAAATTAGTCTGATGTCTGAGAATATTACAACTGTACATATGCAATATGCATATCCACATTTGTAATATTCGTCTTCGCATTCAAACCACGCGAGACGTAAATTTACCAAGTTATGAACTCTTGGATCGTGTTAAATCGGAATGTAGAGATTTATGTGAATAATATTTATTTTTGAGTCACATGTGTGCTAGCCACAAGTTTCTTCGTTTTTCCTAAGTTTGGGTTGTACTTATGGATTATGTACATATATAGGTCCTCGAAAACTGGTTGTTATTCCATATTTGAAACGTTGGGTTACTTATCATATTTCTGAACATGATATGTTTTCGTCAAATATTTGTCACGCCATACCTACATAAGTTATTAAAGAAAAGTAAATCCAAACCCAGCATTGTTTTTTATTGCACGCAATCCAAACTCTTAGAAAAATTTCTATTGGCTAGCTCAATCTGAATTTTCATGGCAACCACGGGGAAAGTCAGCTTGTCGAAATGCTTGTGACTCTCTGTCAGAAAAGATTCTCAGCATTAGTGATTAGACTTGTGTATGTGGACCTGGACACTTCCAAAACACCTGGAAAGGAGGGAATTTTATCATCGCCCAAACCCAGAGGAAGTGGATTATGACTACAAGATTATAAAAAGACGAAATTTATTGCAAAATCACCCATTCTGCAAGCATTGCACTTTATGGGAAATTTCATCGCCGAGGGGAAATACTCCGAATATCCGCACAACTGAACTGTTTTGGACCGAATGAAAAGCCAATGGTATGGCAAAGGGTCTTCCAAACATGAGAAGAATACGGGCAAAAATTAGCCAGGAGGCGGCGTACAAACTGTGGAGCAGCTCAAATAGCTACGGTCAGTTAAACTATTCGCACCTGCATGGCTATGGTGGGAAGCAAACTGATGATTTTTATCCAAAATAATTTATAAATTTAACATTTGTCAAAACAGTGACTACATTGCATTAAATAATTCTTTATTTTGAATTTAGTTAATCGTGTCATTATTATAATTCCAGCAAGGAAACCGTAACCAGTTGCACAATTTTGCTTCGTTTGAACAGCATTAGTTTAGGAAATGGTGGGATATGCAGCAAGATTTTTAGTAACGCTGCAGTCCACGTTATCGTTTTGACCGGCCAAAATTTTAGCAAATCCTTTGTCACCCCATCCTGTCCCCCAGGAGTTTTTAATGATCCAGTATTTTTTGCCCACACTGTCAGCCCCATATCTGAAAGTAATTAGTATAGCCAATTGGTAACTTTCGACGAGTTTTTTTTCATTTAACATATATATAAGTTACCCCACGAGCAATACGGCATGATCCATTGTTTGGTTCACCTTACGCGATAGATATCCCGTGGCATATTGCGGATCCCATTTTTCACTTCCAGAAACGGCAATTGCCAACTGTTTAAATAAATAAGTTTCGAAATATATCGACATTGCACTCTTAAAATTAATGTTACCATTTTGAAAAGCAAATTCACTCTGACATATTTACATATATCCAGAGTAACGTTGACTTGACAAGTCAACATTTATTCTGGATTTAATATTACTTCCTTAATATAAAATGCATAATGCAGTGATTTTTAAACTGGGTACCATTAATTTTAAAAGTGTGTTGACAAATTTATGCAACTTAGGTACACACCGGTCCATGAGTAACCAGAAAGGATTTAAGGGTGTCGTCGGTCGCAGGCATTGTTAGCCTTTCAAATCCGGTAACGGTTTGCACTGCAGGGGCGTTTGCCCCGCTGCATTTTCCTGTTGTATTACAGCAGCCAGATGTGTATGGGTAGGCAGAATCTGCTTTACTGCCCCCATTATTTTGCAACCATTTGAAGGTATTTGTTGGCCAACCGCCATTGCAACCGAGGTCTACAGCTGGAAGATTCAAATATTAAACTAAAATAAGACATCTAAGGAGTTTACGATTAGATAGTGTGATTATCGATCAGCGTCTAAAGTGTTTACGTGTTAGCGGTTACTTACTATCACAATCCAGCAGATGCTGTTCACTCAACAGGACCGAGGACTTTCCAGCAATTAACACTTGGCTTTCAACCGCAGAGAGCTACACAGATAATTTATAAAATGTTCCCACGTGCATAATGATGCATATGGAGGTATGTTAATATGACTTACGCTAGTGAACGCCCAACAGCTGCCACACTTCCCTGTTAAATTAAATAAAAGAAAATGTATCATCGAAATCTTGCGACGAACTAACAAGCCAAATGTACCTTGATTTCTGACTGCGGAAACCTTATTTGACGATCTCCAATCAAACGAGTCAGGTGGCGTCGCCCTAACATACCTCTCGTGAGGAACGGATCGGGTTGAATCGTCCAGTCTTAATTCTGGTTTCAAGCCATGATGGGTAAGATGAAATTCGTCTGGATCTTCGTCCGCAAATTCGTTTATAGCTAGATCCATTACATTGAAATTGTGTGTATCGGAAACGATGTGCATAGATTTCTTAATGAAATCTCACCTAACGTGTATTGCACTTCCCCGTTTTGAAATTTTTTGTTATGTTCATCCACACGTGCTAAGGTTTTTTCAAATTTGGCCATCGCCTTTGCCGCATTTTCGGCCGATTTATACTCTTTTTTATATTGTTTCTGTATTTTTGGGGAGTGCAAATTTAAATAATGTAATAATGATAAAATTGAGTGCACTCATACCATGAAGGACACCCAGTCTGGTTTGACGGCCAGCGAAATTTCCAGAAACATTCCCATTACGAGGAGAACTGTTAGGATGCTGAATTTACCCATTGTTGACTCAGTTTATCTGATAGCTTTTCTCAATGAACAACTTGGAAGACATGGTGGTTTTTATAGTGGACTATGAAGGCGTAGACTGATGCATGAGACATATTTGGTTCGAATATTTCATCCTAAACATTTGGCAGTACAATAGGGAAATATGTAACTGCGGTCAGATGTCGGCAATTACTTAGTTAGATGTGAAAATCATAAATTGTTGTTTCATAAATTGTTTTGAAATATAGAACAATATTCAGTGATGCAAGTGTATCTGGCGTTGGATAACTTGTTTACAATTTTGGTTGTATAAGCGATTACGGAAACAAGGTTTTGGGTTTAAAAATAAGCTGAAGATGATTTGTTGGCCTTACTGGAGATCACGCAAAGTTGTTAATAAAGTTATATGGATTGACACCAGTACAAAAATACGTGCAAGATTTCACAGGTAAATTGGAGGATTTTCCGTATTATGTCACCGTTTCCTTAGTTTATGTATTACGTATCTATTTGTGAGAAGCACATTTCTTCCACATTACGGCCTCCGTCTCACCAAGCTATTTGATTTAAAAGAAATTCGCTATTGACAAAGTTCCTTGAAAATGAATTTTTCATCAAATTCATTAAATTTGCTTAGGAAATCTCGTATTAAATACAATTTCAAATGGAAATGTACTTTTAACTTGTTATACACCTCGGTTTAAAAAATGCTTGGTTATGAATTAATGCACTTATATAGCATTTATGTTTAAATTATGGATGAATTGTTACATATTTTATAGTACGACAAATACTTGATTATTGATAACACTGGGATGAAATGGGGAAAAGTAAATAGTTTGTTTATTTTTAAGAGTGTGACTACATCAGGTGAACCACAGTAAATTTTTGCAAATAACGTACAGACCTCATACAACAAGCGGTCCAATGTTATGATAAGTGAAGCCTACATTATCTGCCTGATAAGACCAGATAAAATTCCTGACTATGTATAGACGTTTGGCATTATTACGTACACATTACACTCTCCATTTCACTCCACGTCTGCTACACGCAAACCAAACCATTCAAGATTCTTAATATTTCATAACAGGTGGTAAATTATTTATATCATATTTAGAAACTGAAATATGTACTCATGTATTCACAAAATTCGGCTGCATCAAAATTCCTTCATTGCGTAATTTATTTTTTTATAGAATTTACACGTGACGGGTCTAACATGGCACACGAAACGACGGATCCAACCTGTTTAACAGGAGCTATGAGTCATCTTTTTGATACCGGATTATTTTCTGATGTCGCATTTTTAGTGGGTAAAGAGAAACATCGATTTAACGTACACCGAATGATCCTTGGGGGAAGATCGCCCGTTTTTGCGACAATGTTGGAGGAACGATGGGCTCAACAGCAAACCAGGACAGATTCCGACTTCAGGGACAAAGTGTTCATTAGGTTCCAGGAGTATGATGTAGAGTCGTTTCGGATTTTTCTAAAGGTAGAGCTATGTATGTACTTACGCTGTATTTTTCGGGTGACGGTGCACAGTTTGGCGAAAAGTGACAAAATTTCATCCCGACGGTGTTTACTTTGAGTTATATTTCTGCCCTCAGGTTTTGTCGCCCAAAACAAAGATTTCGCTCAAACGACGTAAATAGGCACAAAGGTCCTTAAATTGTTGTTGGTTCATGTAAAAAAACTGCCAGATAACCTTACAGATTCTGGTGTCTCCTTTTTGTTAAAGAACAGTAAAATTATGATTAAAGATCCTTGAGCAGATTATTAATAACATTTCGCTATTCGTATGACCAATTGAACAAACTACAGAATTTGAAATGATTAGCTCTATTTATACATAAATATTTAAATTTTTGAATTGGTAAAGTTGAACTGTAGAGAATGAATTTGTATTCTTGTATATGCAGTTCTTGTACACGGACTGGCTATCCCCAGTGAACCTCGGGATATTGTTGGACCTTTTGAAACTAGCTCATTTGTACGAGATTCCTCGCCTTTTACGCATTGTGGTGGATCGTGTAAAAGAATATGTTGCAAAATGTGACCCAAAATCGGCCAATGACTGCCTGACCATATACAAACATTCCAGGCATATTGATGAGAAGTTGGGCGAGCTAAGTTTCCAATTTTTCATGAAGTACGTAATATTTACAAGATTAAAGAATACGCTCTAAGAAATCCTGTACTGAAAGAGTACCAACCGGTATTGATACATTCATGCCTCGACCAAAGTCGTATTGATATGCTACACGGTGTCGTAAATAATACAGAGTGGTGCGTGTTGTAAATAATACATTAGTAGCCGGGTATTACAATTTTGCCATATCAGTAAAAAAAAATTTACAGACCGCTATAATGTTAATACCCAGCGGCAGCAGGTCTAATACCGAGAAATCAATACCTGAGTGACTATTACCAGATTTCTAACAGTGTACCTAATCTGTAAAGATGCATTGTTCGCTGATCAATTGTTTCCCCAGGCATGTTCGACTGGCTGGACAAAATAATCGGTATTTATCATGGGATACGGAAACCGTGAGGCACATATTACACCAGGATGTCGTTGATGTTCGGGAAGTTGATATATTTAAGGCTCTATTGAAGTATGCCATAATACGGCACGTTTGAAAATAGTGTCACCCTTTTGAAAAATAAATGCGCTCTGAATTCTATACATTACGTAAGTCTGATAATCGGACTAGGTATATTAAGTAGGGGACCGTGCATAACTTATGCCACTCTAAATCCAGAGTAACATTAACTTGATAAAGAGTAAATTTTACTCTTGCTTTTGTGTAGTCTACTTAATTGAGAATTGGTAGTGAATTTATGTTTCGAAAGGGTAACATCGTTTTTAACAGTGTGGCTGGTTTTCTGTAATCAACGATCTGTTTTTGTCTTCCATGGCTCAAACGTAGCTGGGCAAAATGCGATGGACCTAGTGACGATGATAAACATTCTGAAAAGGCAAAAGTATTTCCTCAGCTTTTGAAAATGATTCGATTTCCAGCCATGGGAATAAAAGATTTTGGGAGTGAAGTCGTCCCCACGCAAGTCCTTTCTCAGGATGAAGTTGTGAAAATGTTTCTACACTTTTCTAATCCAGGGTAGGTACAATCTAAAAAGACGAGTAAATTCCACACACCTTTTCTTTAGAACGTCTGAACGTAAATACCCAAGTTGAGAAAATTTGGCTGTGTTCTGAAGCAATCAATCTCATTTTTGCTTTCGCAGAGAAAATTCTACAATGTACAATACTACACCCCGCCAGAAAGTGAAACCAGTGAGTTTTTGCAGCGCAACTGGACAGATACCAGATTTTGCGGTGTACCAGTCGAAGCTGGTTCGGCCACATATAACCATGTCCAAAGTTTCTACAGCAACTGTGGATCAATTACCTCCAGAAATTCGGTAGTTCTTTCTTCCAAGAATGCTTTCATTATATGTAAATAATAAAAAGGAACAGCAATACTTATTGTAGTATGCCAAGAATTACAAAAAATGTCCTCGGGCGACTAATTCCGGCACGATTAATTTTGGTCACCCTAGAACGATCGTAATTCGTTCCATAACTACAATAACTATATTTACCATTCTTTTGTGGATGAATTACTGTTCCTAACAATGTTACCTTAACAGCAACTTATTTTTCTTGCGGCATAAACAGGTTGGAGGTAACGTCATCCATTTGTCTGACTGGAATTAAGGTAGCTTCATCCGACCTCTGGAATCGTCATGGGAATGAGTTTAAATTTATCGTTCTTGTGAAAATCGATGGTGGGTTAACTGTTGCAAAAGGAGAAGTTACAATTACCATACCCAACAGGCATAACCCCGAGTATCTAGTGTGGGTGAAAGAAAAACTTGCTTTAGCCGAAATTCCATTCGACGTACCGTTAACCTTACAAAGAGGCAAATTCTATGAAATATTGGTGCACTGTAAACAAACAACGACGCCTGCGAGCGATTTGATGTATGGATATCAAACTGGTTATGGTAATTCTAAAGTATATGTACATATATTCAATTGTATAAGTATGTAGGCGTGAGTGTTATGATAAAATTCGAAATTAACTGATATCATCCTTAGTTGTTCTCTGTCGCCGGAGTGATTCGCAAACCTACTCTGGGTTCCGAGAAGAAGAAAGAAACATAACTTTCGCTAATAATGTGATGGGGAAATTGAAATGCCTTGGTGGATTAGGATCACGGTGGATTGGTGACTTAGTCATTGCTCCGGCAGTTAGTGAAGCTGAAACTCCTACGGCCTGCCCAATAACGTAAATCGCGTTATGTTAGACGCAAATTATATAAATATCTGGTGTACTATGCACTGACATGTGTTAGCAATCCCGCAGAAATGATTTCGCTTAAAACTTAATCACTTCTTTAAACTGTCCTATAGGGTTGCCGCGGGTAGCGAAAATGCTACCCGTTACCCGACCCGCTACCCGTTATGAAGATTAAGTTAAAAACTAACCAACCTTGAAAATAAATTTGATTTAATCAAATATTTTTTCTCATTAAGGTTGATTAGTAGTTTGAGATATGTAATGCTGTGCAACTAACGAAGTAACGAATGCCATAATTTGCTAGGTGTCATTAGCTGTTTTTAAGCCAGCATTTTTGGCTTTCAATGGAACCTTTTTCAAGCCTGGTCGGGATTTCTTAGCGAATTATATCAAAAAATCAAGTCAAAAATTAAGAATTACCACTTACATATGCATCTTTGCGTTGAATGGCCCGTTTAAAAAAATGGGGGGCAAAGTTCAAAGTCCACCATGGTTTTTGCCCAGTGGAGGAAAAATATCCAGAACATTAAGTTAAAAATTAAACTTTGCTTTGCTTTGCAATTTTTTAAATATTTTGTTCAATGTGGACATTTAACGGAAAGATAAGTATCAATCGATTTCTAATTTTTGGCTAGACTTCTTGATATACCCACTTGACAATCTTGGAATAGCTTGAAAAAATGTTAAATTTTTAGTTTGATTATTCGAAATTATGATTTAAATGAAGTTTTCATTTAAAAAATTGGCTACAGATACAAATAGAATTTTGGCTTTCAATCGGATTCTGATTTTTCATGTTCAAAGCACAAATTAAAATCTAGTCAGACTTAAATAAATACAAACAAATACTTACAAGTCAAATTATTATTGATATTTGAGAGCAGACAGATTATGCTTAAGTAACAATAATTTCTCCGCAGTTTCGGGACGTCAAACGTATTTGCCGTAGGCTTTTGTGGCTTCCAAAAAGACACGCTCGTTATAAACTCTAGTTGCTGCATGGCAAATGGAAAATTTTGAAATGGATAAAGAATAAATTAGCGCTTTTGTTGGTAAATGAGCTAACTTGCTGCTCACGTTCCTCGTGAACTGATTTATGTTGAAAATTAAATAAAACCTGAACTACCCGTTACCCGTGCGGGTAGTTCTCGCTACCCGCAGATAACGGGTACCCGCAAGGATCGTGCGGGTAACGGGTACCCGACCCGTTACCCGCGGCAACTTTACTGTCCTATACTTCATAGCCAAAGTTTACTGAAATAAATATGGAAGCCGTTTTACAAAGAGGGACAAAAACACTGTCTACAATTTTCTTAATTACGTACGATGAGCTTATATCAATAATTTTAATCTTTATATTTCCATCACGAAGACTGATTAATATTGTTAGGTTTAAATTAGGCATGTGGCAAATTATTCATGAACCTAATTTCTAAGTTCTGCAAGTAAGAAAAACTCTTCAAACGAAAAAATTTCCTGAGAAAGACTAATGAATCATCCAGATATGTTAAATTAGTACGTATGTTATTACCTACTAATATCGTCGTTTCTTATGCTTTGAAATGATTTCATTTTTAAAAAGTGTCGTATTTATCAGTATAAGATTATTAAAATAATGTGTATCGAAATTTGAAACCTAAAAATCATATTTCCCTAGTACGAAAAACTTGCACAGGATATTACTTCTTCTTACTTGACTTGAAAAAAGCCACCATCTTATACACTATCACCTGCTAAATTCTGACTTAACCACACCCCCATTTTCACCGTATTTTAAAAATGATGATGCCTAAGTCACTTGTTAAGTGGGGCGAAACCTGTGAACGTTTGATTTTTTGGGCAAATGTAACAAGAAAATTTGAACGCCTTTAATTCTCATGATATGATTATTGACTTGAGTGCACCAATTCTTTTCCATATATATGTTTCTAGCGATCAGGCTTGCATTGATTTCGCAGAAAACGGTTGTGTAAAAATGTGCTAGAGTCATGTTGATTTATTAATTCGAACGAATACGATTTATTTACGTTTTATGATAACACTGGTATCTGCCCATTTTTTAATCCGTGAAATTTTGATCAAATGCGTCTTGGTAAATTTATCTGTAATCTAACATAGATACATGTCCCATAAACTAGATTATAAGACTTTATTTACTTACCTATATCGTGTCGCTAGGGTACTTGGCCGAATACTGCTACATAAATCGTAACTTCTATTGGAGAAAGGTTTTCTGTAAGAGCAATAACTTGAAAAAATCCTTTAAAAAATCTGATAGCAACACTTTTTATGCTACCGTTTCGGTGAGAGCTATAGATTTTCGTAATTGTCTGGTAGTAACATAGTGCAAATATATTCAATTTATGCAATTCTAATGATTTTTTTCTATGCATGACTGTTCTCGGTGGTATGTAGGTACATTAGTAGCATTTTTTACATTGTATGGAGAATTATTTAAAACTTATGTATGCAAGTATGCAAATAATATGAATAATATGTATAATATGAAAATATAATCTGAAAATTATACGAATTGAATAAATAAACACAAAGTATGCAAATATTCCGCAGTGTGCATGTATCATCGAAAGCATTTTTTTTATTAATTAACCATCCATTTGAGACGAATCAAAATAATTTTAATACAAATATATAGGCATATAGGTAACACATTTAAATAAAAGTAATCTACATATGCTTTTCAATATACTGATAAATATTGATGTGTCTTCCATACTAAGTAATAAGTATTAAGTAATTGACAAATAAATTTTCTACATCAACATAATGGAACACATTATCGCATCAATTTGCAAGAAGATATACACAGAGGAAGTCAAACAGAGGAAAAAAATTGAATTGGCGAAAATCATAGATTTACGACTAGTCAATGAGTACTTAAATAAGAAGTAAAATGGACAGGCAATGAAAGCCTAACATTTATTGACCAAGACGTGATTTTATGAAATACCTCTTGTATTTAAAAAAATATTATTACTAAGAAAATTATGTTTGATTCAAGCATGAAATATGTATCAAGCTAATATTTTGTCATGCCACAAATTACAACGAGAATTACAAGCTCGTTGTAATTGTAAATAATACGATCAATTGAAGATCAATTTGTTACAAAAGTATTCTTAACTTCGAAGCATGTCTGTATGCAAATAGCTGCTTAAATCTATGTAATTATGTCCCAATTTTATTAAACTGATTCCGATTGCTCAACCGAAGCCGATCAAAATACACTTAATCAATAAGAAACAGTCGACCAGGAGCTATTCGTATAATTTTAAGATTTCTGATGGAAACAGTTAGAAATCCTAAAATGTCATTAAAAATATTTGCTTCATTCATTTGATAAAATAGGAGCAGAATTAAATAGAACGACTAAATACTTATTAAAATGTTGAAGTTTTTAATTATCGCTGGATTCATTTCAGCTTGCCAAACTTTTCTGGATATTATACCCAACCAGGAAGGAACCGACCATAACGCCGTGTTATTTATTAGAGATGGTAAAAGACCTTTTGGAATTATTAAGCAGAAATAGTGAATTCAAAAATCAAACTGCACAAATAACATCCCCGTCAATCTCAAGTGGTGAAATACTTAAATACTTAAATACTTAAAGAAGTAATTTCTGATGTTGCAACTTCTTTTGTAAAGGACAATATCAATAATTTGACAAATGTTGAAATTAATGAAGTAAAAGAACGTGCAAAAAATTTTAGTGAAGTAATTATTGATTCTACTCCCGACAACACTTAGGCAGAGAAAAATGCGGATTCGAAAATTATGGAGTTTTTCGAGACTCATTTACACAAAACTGTGTAAGATTGTATAAAGATAATTCCACCATAACTGCAACTATACTAGATCATTAGTATCATTCAATATTTAACCTAACAAACTCATGATATTGAATATTTGACAAAATGCTGGCATAATTATACGAGTATTTTACAAGTATTATACGATAAATTGCTTTGTTTCGCTTTTAAACTTCACCACAACAACCCAATATGATGCAGTTTCTCAAATTAAACCATTGTACAGTAATGGCTCATTTCTTAATAAATTTTATGTCTGTACTTATATTAAGTTTGTGGAATTACTGCAACTATACTCGACAACTAGTATCATTAAATATTCGACCTAACAGGTTGCTGGCTTGGACAAAATAACTGTAATCATTAAGGAATAAGACATAAACAACAATTGGACTTGTTTGCCTAAATTAAGGATGCTCCTATTTTCCAAAATATTCCCATTATCCATGCATAACGGGTCAATTGATCATAGAAAAAAGACTAAACCTTAATTTCATATTTCATTTCGAAATCGATCTGTAAACAGCCAAATTATAAAATTAACGCAAAAATATGTAAAACAAATTATCGAATAAATTTTAAATTATTCCAGATTTTGGTTTCCATAAAAAATTGGATTTGAATCTTCCTTGAATTATTTTTTTTACGTATACTAGTTTCGAGACATTCGAACGGACATCAATATACCGATGTGGCACCTTTTCAACATGGGTTTCTACCGGAATTATAGTACCACGATAATTCCATGCAGTGCGTTTGACCCTTCCATCTAAAGGGATTCATTATGTTGGCCCTTAGCCTACAAGCTTGTAACAATTGGAAAGAATACATTTAAATAAGGATCCTCAACTATTATAATTTGCGGTGGTATATCAAAGTTCTTTTGTATTACTTTTGTACCAATACCTTTGGTATAAAAGTGCTAAATTAATGGTAGTATTTGAGTATAAGTGTACAAAAGTGGAGTATAAATTGCAAGGTGTATACTCCCGTCGTAGCTTCGCGTCGCTGAGTTTAAATTAAGTTCCACCTTTGTCCCAATTACATATCCTCAACTTATCTTTGATCAAAATTGTTATAACTTGTTGTACCAATACTTCTGGTACAAAAGTACTAAATTAGTATAGCGATATTAAAATTCTTCAGTCAACTCGTCAAAAGCAATGTATATACAGCTGATGCATAAGAAATATGTAAGCCATGATTTAAAATGGAACTCAACTTTCCTAAAAATGTCTAAAAAAACGACCCATTTTTTACAATTAATAATGCATCAGTCATAAATAAATATTCTTAATTCAAATGAAGTCTTATTTGTTGGTGCACAAGTTAAAAATAAATTTACAATATCTTGCTCCCGTCGTAGCTTCGCGTCGTTGAGGAGTAGAAGGTCACTACTTGTCGGGCCCCGATTTCGATCTCCTTTGGATATGTTGTAGTACTACATGAGTGTAAAAAAAGTGAAGGAGGGTTAGACTCCATGAGCCCATTTACGCCCGCCACACCCCCTCAAAGGCGGCCAAACCCCCAGAGTTGCCGCACTAAAATCATCGCTAAAAATCGAGTTTTGGTCAAATTTTCAAAACATTTACATATTTGTGATCCCAGATAGTTGCTCTACCATATCCAATAGCAAACTCAACTTTTTTGAAATTTCGAATTTTTTCAATACATACACTTGGTCAGAAAATCTTCAAAAATATTGAAAATTTCAAAAAAGTTGAGTTTGCTATTGGATATGATAGAGCAACTATCTGGGGTCACAAATATGTAAATGTTTTGAAAATCTGACCAAAACTCGATTTTTGGCGATGATTTTAGTGCGGCAACTCTGGGGGTTTGGTCGCCTTGAGGGGGTGTGGCGGGCGTAAATGGGCTCATGGAGTCTAACCCTCCTTCACTTTTTCTACACTCATGTAGTACTACAACATATCCAAAGGAGATCGAAATCGGGGCCCGACAAGTAGTGACCTTCTACTCCTGAGTTTAATTCAGGTTTAACCTATCTCTCCATTATACGCATTAAATAAACATGTGCTTGAATGATACAATCTACAAGCATAGAACTCATGAAAATGTCCCGTGCAAGAAATTTGTACATCATTACAATTTTTTATACAAATCAATTCTTCGCTCATTTAATTCTATTATTATTCTGCACTTCCATCGCCGTGAAAATTTGATTCGTTACAACGACGTCTACAAGCTTGTAACAATTGGAAAGAATACATTTAAATAGAGATCCTGAACTATTATCATTAGAGTAGGTCCATGCAAAATTTTAAAAAAATGTTACTTTTGTACCAATACTTTTGGTACAAAAATGTTTATTGAAGTATTTGAACGTAAGTCATTCAAAAGTTTAGAAAGGGTTAAGGTCCCGTCGTAGCTTCGCGTCGCTGAGTTTAACAAGGGTTTAACCTTTCTCCATTACATGCACTGATTTAATTTAGTAAATAAATATGTATGAACCTGAATTATACAACTTACACGCGTACAACTCGTGAAAATTTCCCGTGCATAAATCTGTGTTATGATTTCCCTGATTATTTTATTCACTACATCTGTGACTATTTACAAGCTTGTAACAATGATTATTTCAAACAGCGCGTTTGACCCCTCCATATAAATGGATTCATTAAGTTGGCCCTTAGCCTACAAGTTTGTAACAATTGGAAAGAATACATTGAATTTGAGAACCTAAACTATTAAGATTAGCGTTCATTTATGCAAGTTTTTATCAAAGTTGTTATTACTTTTTTACCAGTACTTTTGGTATAAAAGTAGTAAATTAATGAAAGATTTTACTATATTTTTAAGAATCTAGTATACTTCTACAATAAATTAAAAGCTTGATACTCCCGTCGTAGCTTAAGGTAGCTGAGTTTAAGTCGGATTTAACCTTTTTGGAATTACATGCAAGCATTGATTTACTTCAATAATGAAATATATACTTAAAGGATACAATTTACCGGTGTATCATTCATGGAATTGTCTCCTGCAAAAATTTGTGACATAAATTTAAATATTATTTGTTATACGTATAAGTGATACACAAGGTTAAAATAAATTAAAATTTGTACACTCCCGTCGTAGCTTCGCGTCGTTGAGTTTAAATCGGGTTTAACCTCTGCCCTCATTACGTATATACCCTGAACTTTTATAATTCGAGTATAGAGATCCCTGCACATTTTCGATTAAAATTGGCATTACTTTTATTCCAATACTTTTGGAATGAAAGTACTAAACTAATGACAGTATTTCTTAGAGGAGAATTCACACATGGGTTAAAAATAAATTATTTTTGCAAGAAAAACTCTTAGATGAGGTTGCGTGAATCGTAAATAAAAACATGAAATATGCAGCTGAATATTTTTGCATTTACAGAAAATTGGAAATCATTTGCATAATTTAAATGCGTAATAATTGTGCCGTTTTAAATGGCAGCACGTTGCCTCACTTCGGGCCAAATACGTGTAATGGGCAGTGGCCTGCAGAATTCGATTCCCAATCTCGAGTATAAAACTCGGGTTAAAATCTTTCCACAAGTTATGTACGTGCTGAAAAACGTTTTTAGAATGATCAAGTTTTTTAATTATTACTGGATTCAAACTTTTTTAGATATTCCATCCAACCCAGAAGGAACCGACCATCATGACGTAGTATTAGAGATGGTAAAAGACCATTTGGACTTCATAAAGAAAAATAGTGACCTAGTGAATTCAACTGTACAAATAAAATCTCCGCCAGTCTTCAGTGGTGAAATTACTAACGAAGTAATTGCTGACATATGTACATACTAACTTCTTTAGTAAAGGATTAAATTCCCGTCGTAGCTTCGCGTCGCTGAGTTTAAGTTGCGTTTAACCTTTCTCCATTACATGCACTGATTTCAATTTAGTAAATATTAACCTGAATTATACAACTTACACGCGTACAACCCTTGAAAATGCATAAATTTGTGTCATAATTTCCGTGATAATTTGATTCACTACACTACAAGCTTGTAGCAATGATTATTGCACCCAGTGCGATTGACCCTTCCATCTAAAGGGATTCATTAAGTCGGCCCTTAGGCTACAAGTCTGTAACAATTGGAAAGAATACATTGAATTTGAGAACCTAAACTATTAAAATTAGCGTATAGATGTGCAAGTTGTTGTTACTAAGGTACCAATACTTTTGGTACACAAGTATTAAATTAGAGATATCATTTGTTTATTAAGTATAAATTATGCACTAATTGAAATTCAATAATGCATTTATTCTTGCTTGATTAATGTTGACTACTTAATAACTGCTTATACATACACTTGAAACAAAAAGTTACTAAATAGTTTGTTGGTAATTGACGAAAATCAATTGGAAGCTTCATACTCCCGTCGTAGCTTCGCGTCGCTGAGTTTAATTTAGATTTAACCTCTATTCCCTATTCTGATTTGCTGGACTTTTATAGTTATGTAAATTTTTGATCAAAATTGTCATTACTGTCGTACCAATACGTTTGGTACAAAAGTACTAAATTAATGATAGGATTTATGAGGGTCATATTGTACGTCTTACACAAGTCGAAAATAACTCATAATATTTATACTCCCGTCGTAGCTTCGCGTCGTTGAGTTTAAACCTGATTTAACCTCTGTTACCATTACATATCATGAACTTTTTTAATTCGAGTACGTCCATGCAAATTTTTTAAGCAAAATTGTAATTAAACTGTTATACCAATACTTTTGGTATAAAAGTACTAATCTGAAGTTATTATTACTCAAGTCGAGTATAACTTAAAAGGTATAAGCACCCGTCGCAACTTCGCGTCGTTGAGTTTAACCAGGCTTTAACCTCTTTTCACCTTAAAATGTACTCATTTAATTAACCGAATGTTTCATTAAGTTATGGAACTTATTTACAAGCGGGACACAGTGTTACGCTTGTACATATGTATAGACTTAATATAAATTAAATTAATTTGAAATTGCATTACTTCAGCTTATCTTTCAAACCCTTGAACAAGGTAATTAATTACTTTAATTACTTAAATTAGGAGAAAGTGTAAATGTCTCAGTAATGGAGGCAGGTTGATCAGTTTTTCGCAAAAAAGGATTAGTATTCCGTTATGAAAGGGACTAGTGCAAAAATTTGCGTTCGGTTACTCAATTTTTGGTATGTACCAGTATACACAAATGAGTAGATGGTTCCTAATCTTGGACAAAATGCCTATGATCCACTATTCTCTATGACTGATAATATGGTTTGTTATAGTGAGTAGCTGACCTGTCCGAACTGTGGTAGGAATGTGTACAAATTTATATTGTAATTAAATTACTCATTTAATTGTACCATATTAAATGAGCATTCTCATCTGAGAGGGTTTTTTATAACTATGGATAAATCAAAATTTCAATTTGCGTTTCCCATAAAATTTCTCATTTTTCATAGTTGATATTTGAACTGTGCAAAATGAAGAAGTATACAGTATTTAAAAAATTGAAAACTTTGAGCTCCTGTCGTAGCTTCGCGTCGCTGAGTTTAACCGACTTTAGCCTATTTCTCATCTATTAATTTAAGTAAATATGAACCTAACTTATACAACTTACAAGTGTAAAAGTAATACAAATGTCCGAAAAAAATTGCAAAAATGTGTAAAAAAATTACCATTCTTATCCGAGAATGATGTAACTCTAAATAAGTCGAGATTTCAAACAAACGTAAGCCCACACTAGTTAATAGCTCATGAAAGTGTATTGCACCTTAATTTTTTAGTATGCAAAAAAATTAAATCATAGATTTGTATGTAACTCAAAAGATATGAAGTCACGTGGGACAATTTTAACTAACAATTTTTCAAGTTCCCTAATAAATTTACACCATTATTAGGGACAAATTTTTTTAATTGGGGGTGAGAAAGAAACTCTCTTCCACTGTTTGGAAATCCAGGTTAGTAACTTAATATTGACAATAATGATTTTGAAATTTAATCATATCCAAATTTTAGATTCGATTAAAAATGTTAATTATGGACATTAATTCCAGAATCCTTTACGTACCTATGCAACTGTCAACGGGTCAGAATATTGAGGAATACGTAGGTGTTTTATTATTAATTTTCAAAAGGTATGTTCCGCACTGTTTCTGACCAAAATTTTGATGAAATAACAAACTTCAAATACATTTAGGAGGCTGTGATTTTTTTCAACTCTGTGGGTTAACATAAACACTAGCAATAAATCGGCAAACTTTACCTCGACGGAAAAAATGCTAGATTTGCAAATTAAATATCGTAGTGTGATTTAATTTTTAATGCTGGATCGGCAATACGTGTCGCAGATTTATGGTTGAATCCTTAAAATTTACGATGAAGACTGCCCAACACAAAACACAAATTCAATTGGGTCAATAATTTTAAATGATGGCGAAACGATGTCTCGGGCAAAAAGTCGCAACGACGCTCAAAATCCGTTTCTTCCACAGAAAGGCTCCGGAAACTAGAGGAACAAATAATGAGAGATCCGCGATTGAAACTGTCCTATTTAGCAGATGAGATGGGTGTTTCAAAACCAGCAATTTGTTCCATGTTAACTGAAGACTTAGGTATGAAAATGGTTTCCGCCCGTTGGGTACCAAAATTGCTTTCAGCATCTCAAGAACAGGATCGAGTCGACTTTTGCAATGCCAATTTTAACCTATTAAATGAAGACTTGAACCTGCTCAATATTTTATTAGTTGCATATGGTACTTGGGTTTACTATTATGACCCGGTGACCAAATAATAATTCCCTCAATGGAAGCACGAGGGGTTGTCACCGCCCGTGAATTGAAAAGTGCAAAAATCTGACAAAAAAATGATGATGACCATTTTCAAGGATACCAAAGGTCCCCTCCTTATAAAATTTATTGCTGTAAATACTACAATAAATGGGGCCGTGTACGCAGGAACCCCGAAGGAGCTGCGTCCTCCGGTTGAAAAGAAACGTGGGGTCAAAATAAAGAGTTGGCCTTTTTTTAGACGACAACGCGCCACCTCATACCTGGCTTTTTGCGAGGGTTAGTGCAGACGAAAATCGCTTTACCTGCACAAACCACACCCCGTGCAGTCCGGACTTGACCCTTAGTGATTATTATTCGTTTCGAAACTTAAAGAAAAACATCAGGGGAAAACGGTTTTCGGATGATAATGAAATCAAGTCGTAAATTTTGGCATATTTTCGAGGTAAATTTTAATGAGTTATTGCTAGTGTTAATGTTAACCTACAGAACTGAAAAAAATCACAGCATTCTAAAAGTATTTGAAGTTTGTTATTTCATCAAAAGTTTGGTCAGAAACAGTGTGGAACATACATTTTGAAAATTAATAATAAAACACCCACGTATTTTCTCCACATGAAATGTCCCCCGAGATATTTAAATACAAACTTTAAATTCACGATGCTCAACTACATAATGAAAGTTACGCCACTTGACAAAATAAATTAATGTAAAGTGCTAATCTGCACGTAACGTAACGCGTAACTTTGCACGAACTTAATTTCGTTAAAGACCCGCTTAAGTATAATTTTCCGCTGGAAACTTTAGCTAAAGAAATTTGAAATTGTGCTAAAACCCGGAACCACAGTAACCAACATTTCCATGGGAAAGTAAACATGTTAACGACTCGGAAATAAATTTTGCAAATTTCCAAACATAACGTAGAGCAGGTGGCTTAAAATATATGTACAGCGTTTAGATTTAACTCCAATAATTTTAACCCAAATTTTAAACGGAAAAAGATTAATCGCTATCTGAGTTTTTTACAGGCAGATTTTTTTATATTATTTCCAGAATTATTTACGTCAGTACTATTTTATATTGCGTAAGTGTGTATGGATTACGAGAGAGAAAAGATGTCATCAACTTTTTGCATTGATGACACGAATATTTACATATTCGACAAACGCTGCTTAAATGTTCCCAAGAATTTTTGTACAGCAATTTTCCCCATCGAAATTTGATAAGAAATTAGCAAATGTTTTAAACTTTGCTGGTAACATTTGATAAAATTAGTGAGGAAATTTGATACACATAAAAATACGATAGAGGCATGAATAGGAAAATTTAGTGATAGCTAATTAATAACGTTATCAAGTATTGAAGAAATTTCACAGAAAATTTAGTTTGAAGCCAGGAAAACAATGTAGGACAATTTCTCATAATATTTCTAATTGAATGATGAACTTAAATATATATACTTATTTATGTAAATATGAACGAATTTAAGATAAATATTTCACTATTTAAATTTCTATGCAATAGATAAAAACTGACTCGAAATAGACTGGAAGGGGTTACTTTTTGATGCAGGAACTTTTCTTCTTGTGTCGGCGAGATGAAGAAGCGATTTCCGATGAAAAAGTCCGATTGTGCTCATGAATCGGTGTAAATGTAGGAAAATATTTGAATCCGCGTGATGTTGGAGATTTTTCCATGAATCGGGTCGTTTTAGAGATGAGAAAATCTAGAAAATCTGCAAAATAAATAATGAAAAATTGTTAATTTCAAATGTATTTATGTAAATACATAAACACATGGATAATTATGTATGATATGCATACATACTTCTTGTGTCATACTTACACTATGCAAATGTGTGATCCACTTACTGCTAAAGATAATTAACCTGGAGAATCTGGCGAGGAGAGCAAACCAAGACTCCGATCTAATAAGAAAAATATAATACAATATTTAGTACCAAATATATGTACTCATCTTTCAAATACACCTCGTGTTTAGCAGCACATGTAAAATCGACAAAAATTACGCCATACGAATACATGCACTATAAATAAAGTTGAAGAAACTTTACGCAAAAGGGTTTCACAAAAAAGAAGGTGTCACAAAATTTGGGTAAAATTTATCCAACGTTTTGTAAAGTTAGCCCAATTATTGTGTCAATTTTACCCTGTTTTTTTACCCAACCATGAATAAATTTTACATAACTTTACTTACAGAGTGTATGTATGACGACACTTCGTTAATTAAGAAATGGAAGATTATCTTCTTACCTTGGAGAAAGTCGATGTAAAAATTGGAACGCATATTCTCCATGACGTGAGTCTTGAGTGGAATGTCACCGAGAGTAATTAAGCAATTTAAAGGTGCAGCATTACCTGTAATTATTTAAAGTTTGGAAAATGTCTTAAACAGTTTGAAATATGTACATGTAAATTCTTCAGACTTAATTTGCACGTTGATTTTTTTTAATCAAATGGAAATGGTGAATTAAACTATACACAAATCCAAATTAAACGGATCACAGTTATCATAAACAAGGCCCCAAAAAATGGGAAATCTTAGTGAGTCAGCACAATCACAGTTAATAAATAAAATTAGATTGAATAATTTTTTCATCACCGCTCTCGGTATAATTTTTCCTGGAAGCATCCACTCTAATAAAGCGTTAGTGTTAAGTCGCTGACTGAGTCCCTGTGGCTCTCAATGCAAGTTGCCCCATAGAAGAGACAAAGAGGAAAGCTGAGCAACCACTGCATGCATGAATTTTCTGCATGAGTCTCACTTTGCCTGCACGTGACTTTCACGTACGTACACTTGCCATCAAACTCAAATTAAATGTTTTAATATATAAACACAGTGTGCAAGTATTACTTGCACACTCAATTTAAAATTGAGTGTGCTCACATCACTCATCAATAGTGGTTATCATGATAAGTGATCTTGATAAACACTATTAATTAATTATTTTAGTTTGAGACACTCCACCTGCAACGACTGGAATATCAATTCGAATGTATTTTTGACGCTAAATCCAACGGCGTTAATGGTTTTGACCTCCGAGGCCCGTGTGACCTTCCCGTGACCGTGGGGGGTAAATATGGCTTATTCGTGATGTCGCATATCAATTTGAATGTATTTTTGACGCTAAATCCAACGCCGTTAATGGTTTTGACCTCCGAGGCCCGCGTGACCTTCCCGTGACCGTGGGGGGTAAATATGGCTTATTCGTGATGTCGCATATCAATTTGAATGTATTTTTGACGCTGAATCCGAATCCGTCAATAGCTTGGCGTTAATTGTAGAAGTTAATGGGGTTTATGGAACTTAACGGGAGCGTGAAGCGTGGGAATTTAAATAGTTGTCTATGCAGTTACTCCCACGCGACGGGAATTTAAGTAATTAGCTATTCAACTACTCTCACAGGGGGAAATCAAATTGTACTGTGACCCGATTAATTAAAATGCAGCATGACTTGGGCAAACCCTCACTCTGATGTATGCATGTGGTATGACAAAGTCTCCAGTGGAAATTATTTAAAGTATAGTATGACGAATTTTTTGCTTTGGGCACACCCCCCACTGAAACCCTAGAACCCGGCCTTGGCCGGGCTATACGCTAGTTAATTAATCATTTAGAATAATTGCCCCCCCTCAAAGGGTCTGGAGATTTCATCTGAATAGGAATTAATAGGATATCTAAATTTATATATCGAAATTGTAGATTTTCAACTCTTTCTAAATTTAAAATTCGCAGTTCACAATTATATTTCATATCGATTAATTTATTCAACTTCTCGTTCAATAGTAAAAACGTCATCTTGTAATCTCAATTAATTTAATGAATGCAAGAGTTCATGCGTATGCAAAACTAAATTTACAGTGGACCCAGTAAAAATTATCCCGAGAGCGGTGATGCAAAAGTTATTCAATCTAATTTTATTTATTAACTGTGATTGTGCTGACTCACTAAGATTTCCCATTTTTGGGGGCCTTGTTTATTTAAAACTTGTAATTTGGTTGTCAAAGACATTATTTTTACTGCACAACCGCCGTTATTATCGGCACCTTGAATATTTTTATTAAATTTTTGATTTTCAAACTTGAATAACGCTGTTATTTCTCAACCGATTTAGGTCATTTTGGGCTTAAAATGTCCGGAATGACTTTGACTAAAATATTTTCAATAAGCGAGCATGCTGGGATACACCACTTATGAGTCATAAAAATAAATATGTTTTCAGAGGAAAATTTTTGCACATTTTGGCACATAACTTGGGTAAGAATCAAAAATTCGCCAAGTCGACTAGCACATCTTTTCTAAATTACCTGACAATGATCTGTGCAAAATTTCATCAAAATCGGTTGAGAAATGGCTGAGAAATCGACTTATGTCACTTTTTTTGGGTGGGGTAAATGCATACTTAGCAAATTTTTTTCGTTGTCAGGTATTTGCCTCACTAAGAATAAATGATTAAAAAAAGATGAAACGAGATTTTAAATTCGTTAGGCACAATTAAATAGTGTTTTAAAGAAGATACGATTTAAAATGGAGTTTTAATTACTCCAAAAGATCAAGGAATGTACTTACAATTTCCCAATATTGACTGAACAGCTCCAAATTCAATGTATTCTTGCTAGGAAATTATGCAGATTTACAAAAATTGGACACCTCTTAATTAAGTGACTTGTTCATAGAGAGGTTGACCTCGTACTGAGGAAGAAATCGGACAGTGGTTGCTTTTTACGGACAAAGCATTCCATTAAAATATGCACCCTTCGAGAAGGGTCTAGATTAGAAAGGGGACTAACTCAGGGATAAATTTAACTCAGGAATTATATAAGGGTTAAATACGAGGAAAAACGTTTAACCGTCACAGCTTAAAACTTGTGGATTGAGTGTACATATGCCATGCCGGCTTAAAATGCGCAAGACATACACATACAAGATTGGATGGCACCAGCATCGTGGTCTTCCTATATGTACGATCGATACACTGGACACCAAATTTATAAACATGTACATACCCATCAGAAATATATGATTTACGTATGTATCTCCGCTGTGTAGTACGTATGTTAAATATGTATGTATGTACATACGTACGATATGATACTTTTACATATGCACTTGTTCATACCAATCTATAAATATATGTACGCATTTAATGTCCTATACTTTACAGGGTCCGGAGATTCATACATGCATATGTGCATATACATACACGCTTGTTTTTTGTACATTTTGTCTGTTTTTCAGAAATATTTATTCCGTCTATTCACACAAAATGATCATAGATAAATATGCACAGTGTAAGTAATTGAGCAGAATGATTTTGAAACTAAAATATTTACTAATAAAAAAATCCTTTAATATTAAGAAACGCCTTTCATGCATGTTGCGATGTGCATACAGACAAATCAAAAGCATCTGTTGCTACATGTTTGCCAAGTAAATCTTCATTCTTGACTAATTTTCAGTTTAGCATTCGCACATTAAAAGAATATACATTTGTATCAACGTGATGTACTATTTGTCACTGTATATACGTATTTGCATATATTACATAAGCATGTACATATACGTATGCATGTATTTATGGTACATATGCACACTGCTAGAAATATGTATTTCTTTGTGCCTTTCTCTTCCATTTTCTAAGAAATCGGGGCATGAAAACCTACCATAATATGTAACTAAATAAGCCGATCCTAACGTACACATGCATATGCAAACCCAAGCCACCTGAGGGGCCATTCATTATGATACCCTTCTCATAATTTTGTACCCGTTCACATGCTTTAATACGTGTGTACGTATGGTATTTCTGTAAAATCAGGATAATAGGCTTCATCGTCTAAAATGGACATAATTCTATGCGCACTGTCCCTAATATATAAAAAGAAACTTTATGCAAGTAGAAGAAGGCCAAAAGCCTTCCAAGAAAAATCGGGAAAATAAACACCATGGAGTTAAATTTTTAACTGAAAACTGAATTTATGGAAGTTTTCGTGAAGAGGCAATAATGCAGACGAAAATATAGTCGAATATATTTAGAACCCTAATTTTTTATGTATTTATGTACATACATATTTAACAAATATTTTTTTCCAGATTTCTCAAGTCTGTATACATTATTATTTAGCACATTATTGCTTTATTTAATTATTCATGCGACAATTTATGAATCTACACAATAATTACGTCATGTCATATGTATGTACATATGATCTTTTTCACAGTAAATAGTTAACATATGTATAAGATTACCAAATTATAGACTAATATTATTCAATTATGTCACCCTTATCTGAAAATATAGATATACATACATAAATATTTAAAACTTTTGACTAAAAAATACTAATATAATTGCGTTACAAATGTTTAATTACCGAATCCCTCGCATTAGGAAAAGTCTTCAACAATCGGCCGTAAAGGCCATCCCGATCTAACTTCCGCTCAGTGGTGACGGAATATCCGAAAAAATTGATATCAACTTCTTTCACTGATTCCACAACCGGATATCCCGTATCATCTGGCATCGGAAGGAAGGTCGCCACACTCGAATAATCATAGGAATTGGTGGAAACGTGTAATATTTCCAAGACAGGAAAACACACGTGGTAATCAATCCGTCCACTCTCTGATTCGAAGCTGGTTTCAAATTCAAGTTTTTAGTCCGAGTTGGGCCTTACGGGACGGTCATATACATATGTATGTATGTATGTTCATCTTTCCGTTCAGATGGGGCCGAAACCGGACTCAAAATTTTCGCCATAAACATTAATATTAGCGCAGGTTCGGAAACGAGTCGATAATCTGTCGCGTGGTTGACCGCTGGGGGTCATATTACTGGTGGGAGGTAAACGTGAAAAATATTCGAAATAGTCATAAAAGGCCGAAATTCTGTGTGGGAGTTGCGCTAAACGAAAGAATATGAAGTGAAAATTAATCAATGTAAAAATTGTAATAAATGAATTGCAAAAGGTGAGAGATAATAAATATGTAAATTGGTTGTAATTTGCTTTCCCCACTTATTTTTTGCGAGTTTTTTTAACTAGCAAAAAATAATCGGGTAAGAATTTTACATCTGTAAAAAGAACAGGCCCAGAGTCGAGTTTGATAGCTGCGTCGCCTTCATCGTCAGTACATGACTTGGAATCTCCCCTCTGCAGAAATTAGAGATACTTAAATGTCAATAATGAAATTATTACAAAAATGTGATAAAAATCATCACATTTTTAATAACTTACTCCAGATTCCATGAATACACCGGTTATCAACCGAACTATGTAAATGTGCAGTTATCTATAACTTAGTAGTGAAATTTAATTATTTTGTATAAATTTGTGTTGGAAGCAAAGATCAACCAGAAGTAAAATAAAACAGATGACTGATATGCAGTTAAACGTCTAGAATCTGTGAGTCGAATCTTTAAAATAGATCCCCCTTTTTTGGATAATCACCACCACCACTTTGTCTCCTTTACATAAATAAATATTTCTAATGTATCATCCTGCTTCGTGTTTCATTTAAAGGTTTCCATGGATAGTTTATTATGTAACGATATGAAAATTTAATTGTTCCTATCGAAAACAAGTGTATTTATCCTTACAGGTGAAAACTTTGATCTGTTATTATCTAATAAAATTTATGATGACGATACACACCCATTTTGTTAAATTCTCAGAAACACGGTATGAACAGGGTTGCATATTGAATAAATTTTGAAGAGGTCCCACGCTTAAATACTTATAAATACTTATGGTATGATAAACTTGAAGCATAAAGTGAAAATTAAAGAATGAAAATCTGCCAAAACAGTAAAAAAAATTTTAAGAGTGATTCGTTGCATGCAACGGAATGAAATTCGATCCAGAAATTTTCCATGTTTTTCATTAATGAAAACTTGAGTTGACCAACAAAGAAAAACTGGACTTGTGAGTTCAATAATGTGTAGGAAAAATCATACACATATTTATGTACATACATATGTACATAACGTAATCATACCTCATTCTCTCCCACCAGGGTTCGTAAAGTTGTTTTTAATTGGTGTCTTTCTTTGCAAAACTCCCCAATAATTAGGGCATGGTTAAGGACATAAATCACCAAGGAACAGACACTCATTAAATAAATTTTCGACAGCAATGTTGACAGTCTTTACATACATACATGCATATAGCTAGAACAGTGTGGTATTTCCATAACCATGTGGTTGTAAGCTAATGCATTTATGATACATTTCGAGCAACTACATATATTTACACGATAGGATACATAAATATTAACCTATCCAACGGCGCACAATGGGCCAGGGGCCCAAAAATGTGGCCATTAAGGCAGTGTCTTGAATTGGCTATTCTCATATACCATTGTGTACTACATAACCAACTTGTCCTCGGTGCATAATATTAAATTAAACGTTACACCCACTCAGGAGAACCAAGGGGTTATACCTTTTCAAATACATTACGGAGATAGGGTAAATACATTTTCTAACATCTCCGCTCATCTCCGGGCTCAATTGACTCCCTATTGACGTCATTCGGTAACCAGTAGTATGATAAGTATTCCCTGCTGCGTATAGCTGCGGTAACCCCTATCTGGTCTAACCACACCCACTCAAAGTTGTTGAAATCAAGAAATCAAATTCAAGCTAAATTGGTATATTTTATCCAACTCAAAGCATACTCTGGCATGCAATATGCCATAACCATGCCAGGCGGTCACAGGGACAAATTTTCATTGTCAAAATCACACCCCCCAGGGGGTGTGGCCATCATAAACATATTTAATCTAGGTGAATATAGGCATGCGACATATCGTTCTTCTCGGCTATCAAAGGAGATTACTATGGGGAACAATAAATTTAAAAATCACATCTCCAGGGGGTGTGGCCATTGCACTGTTAGCCAGATTTTACGAATTCTGGTGAAAAATATATATAGGCCTCACTTAAAGTCATAAAAATAATTGTTTGCGTAAAAGTATAAAGTAAAATATGGGCTACCAAAGGTAATGTTTAATAGCAAACTCGCACACCCCCAGGGGGTGTCGCAATCAACGCTATTTTTAGTCTAAGTAGACCCAGGCATGCAACCTGTCATTCTTCTGGATTATATGAGGAGATTAGGATTCAGAGCACTAAATTCAAAAAGCACACCCCCCTGGGGTGTAGATATCATCGCCTACATATTTTTGTCTAACTAGGGATACCTTTTCTATGATAGTTGAAAAATGAGTTCTAATTTAACTTTTTGCATGCACCATGATATGTTTTGATTGCAAAGTGCAAAAATTTTTATGCAAAACCAATTTGCTAATTTTTTAATAGCCTTCAAAGTTGCCGAAAGTGGGGGTGGAATAGGCGGAGTGGGAGCGTGTGGAGATGGGGGCGGTCGTGCCCCCCACCATACACTCATCGTCAATATGCATCAACTATGCAAAACAACAATTTGTACTTACCCCTATAAAACTCATCCGATCTATTTATTGTTGCATAAGTTGACATTTTAGGGAAACGTCGTCTAGTTTGATACAAATTTGACTTAACACTGTCGTAAAACTTTACAATCTTTATCATTTCCTCGAGATTATAATTATTATGTTCGATACTTTCAGTCTCCCATTCCTGCGATGACAATTCTTCGGAACTTGTGTCGGTTTGAGCATCACTGTCACCGTAAATGTCAATTTCATCGTCACTGGAAATTTCCAATGCATCGAGCGTTTCGCATGTACTGGTTGAAAAATGAAGTAAATTTACGATTAAAATCAGTCCTTCACTTGCTAAGTCGTTAAGATTTAAACCACTGTCAATTATAGGTACTCCAGCGGTGTCATATTTTAGTTTTGCTAATTCTAGTAATAATTCGCATACTTTAATGATTTTCGCCATATTTAGAGTGGTAATTGCTAATATGATTACTTAATTGAACAATTTTCAGAGAATTTTTAACAAAAGAGAAAGAGCAGATGTCTAAAATAACAATAGGATTTAAGTAAAGAACGTCCGGGAATGAATGGGAATGCGCGCTCTAGCGAGTATATTGACAAATCAATAAACCCGCGAACTATAATAATTTAAATTTCTGAAAGCCCACTTCATTAGGGTCAATTTGGTATATCACTCTTAAATTTCAAAAATGGATAAGGGTAGAAGAAGCTTGTTTGAAAGGGAGCTGTTAGCAAAACGAGTGATGGAGTTCTACAACACGACAGCCAACCGAGACTCCAAGGTGACCTGGAACTTTTTTAAGCAGGAAGGAATTCCAAGTTCAAATGTGTATTCCTACATAAAAAAGTTCAAGGATTCCGAAAATGTGCAATTCAAGAAGCCAGGTGGTCGTCCGGCGAAGCTAGCGACCACTCGAGTGAAAAATAGAATTGAAAAAATTTTCAAAACCAAGCCATCAACGTCAGTAGCTGTAGCTGCCAGGAAAGTCAAAATTTCCAAAAGCTACCTGGGGGAAATTAAGGTCCATAAATTAGGAATCAAAGCAAGGACCAAAAAACCTGCACCAAATTACAAGCCCGTACAAGAAAGTCGGATCAAGGATTGCTGTCAAAAATTGTTGAAGAAAATGCGTGGAAAAGTAGTGATCCTGGATGACGAAACGTATGTTCCGGTTGACCCTTCAAATCTTCCAGGGCGCCATTTTTTTCATAGCTCGGATCCCTCTGAAGTGGCTTATGAAGAAAAAGTACGAAAAAAAGACAAATTTCCAAAGAAATATTGCATTTGGCAATGCATCTCCAGTCACGGACATGTATCAGACCCGGTAGTTCTCGAAGGGAATATCAATCAAGATATTTATCTGAAAAATTGCGTCAAGGCTGGATTGGAAGCATTTATTAATAGGTGTCACAAAAATGATAAAGTTTTGTTTTGGCCTGACCTCGCCACTTGTCACTATGCAAAGAAAGTGACCGAGTACCTCAGAAAGAAAAATATTGATTTCGTACCAAAAGATATCAACCCACCTAATGTACCCCAACTCCGCCCAATCGAAAAATTCTGGGCACGTTCTAAGTCAGTATACTCCCGGCTTCAAGATGTGCCTGACACCTTTCGAAAATTCAAAGGACGATGGAAGAAAATCACCTCGGAAGTGGCAAAAACTTCGGGAAAAAATTTAATGAAAAATCTTCGCAAGAAAATCGAACTAGTCGCCAACGGGGGTGTGGCGGCCTTAGCTATTAATTAAATTATGTAGGTACATATTTGGTATTATACATATGCAAAAAGTTTAAAATTCCGATAACTCATTGTGATTTTATGACCACATTTTCAGACCATTCCCATTCATTCCCGGACGTTCTTTATTTGGTGCGCAAACCGGGCAAACTGATCTTCGAACTTCGCACAATGCCATCAACATGCATCAATTTTTTTCATTCACTTAACTAAATTTTCTTACAATTAATTAAATTTCAAGTAAACATAACTTACTAAATTTATCAAACATAAGTTACTGATGGATTTCCTTGGGTCACACATATCATAATGACCGTCACAGGTGGTTAGCGTATAGTGGGGGGCACGACCGCCCCCCATCTCCACACGCTCCCACTCCGCCTATTCCACCCCCACTTTCGCCAACTTTGAAGGCTATTAAAAAATTAGCAAATTGGTTATGCAGAAAAATTTTTGCACTTTGCAATCAAAACATATCATGGTGCATGCAAAAAGTTAAATTAGAACTCATTTTTCAACTATCATAGAAAGGGTATCCCTAGTAAGTAACCCCATGATCTCGTTATGCTTAACAACATTGACAAATAAAATTCGGATTAATTTTCAAATTATTGACCGATTTTCAAAGTTATGACTGTTTGGAAACGTTAGGTCAATGGGCGAAATATATATTTCCAGATTTTATAAATTCGACCACACCCGCTCGAGATTAATAAGCTCACAAAGTCAAAGAAATTGTAGTACAACATAATTAATGAATATCGCTAAATTTCAAACCCTATAAATCGAACTGCATGTCGAAAAAATACTTCGACACCGTGGGAACTACCAGCAATGTTCAAATGGTCACATGCCACACCCCTAGTGGGTGTGGCCCTCGGCGACTTTTCGATTTTAACGAAACCATGTCATGTGGTATGTTATTTACCTCAGCTCGACAATGGGGATTCGACACGGTATCTAAGATTGGGAAACAGCCATGGTGGGTGTGGTTCTCAGAAAAGTTTCGATTTTAATAAAACCATGAAATGTGTTACATCATGTTTCGCAGCTCGGCGAGGGGATCCGGACAGAATTATTTGATTTTTGAAACCACGCCCCCAGTGTCGTTCAGCGACTTGTTTTGTCCGATTTTAAATTACACCCACACCGAAATAGCAGCACCGATATTTTTACGTTTCCATCAAGGCTCGTGTTTTCGGTTGCGGCGGTTTTGAGTGCATTTTCAGGTCAAATTTAAATTTGTCAAAAATTTTAATGTTTTATCATTTTAACGCTATATTAACAACGAAAGAAAAAAAAATTTTTTCTCAAAAATTACTCAAAATAAAATTATGAAAATACGTTTCTGAAAATTTAAAACTTTGCATCTATTTCCGAATTTTGAAAAATGCAACAAGAAATTGTAAAAAATTACAATTTTTGAAAATGGCTTTTTCTTAATTTAATGCAATTCAAATTATTTTGTAGAAATCCCCTCGTTTAGTTAAGATATATGATGTATTACATGACATGACATGATATAGTTAGAATTTAAAACTCGCTGCAAGCTGATTTTATGAATTCCGTCGAAGCCCCCTTGTCGAGCTGAGAAAAATTATATAACACATAGCATGGTTTTCTTAAAATCGACAATTTACTTTGGGCCACACCCACTGGGGTTGTGGTGGCAAAATTTTAATTACTCTGTCGAGATCGTCTCGTCTAGCTGAGAAAAATGATATATCACATGACATTGTTTCATTAAAATCGAAAAGTCGCCGAGGACCAAACCCACTGGGGGTGTGGCATGTGACTATTAAAGATTTGCTCATATAATATATGCCTTAGGTTATCGTTTCACAGCAAAATCTAATTACTGTTTCTTCAAATTCGGCTCCTATATATTTTTGGCCCAAATTTATTAAATCTGGCCCATAGTGCGGCGGCATGGATGGATTAGTCGAAATACACAAAATATCAGAAATTTAGAAAAATGTACACTCTGATCTTGTTTTAGAGAGAGGCGTGCCATCACTATTATTATGTATGTACATCATCTCATCTCAATGACCTCGCGTTATGCTTCGAGGTAAATTCTTTGCAGAAACAGCTTGTGTTAAAGTTGGCCATATAAATAAATTCTTCTTCTATCCCATATTTATTAAATGTTTGCTTGATATAATTGTTGACAATTGTCTAAAAATTTTGAAACCGCTGGCATTAAAAAGCTGAATATCCTTCATCTACATACAAATGTAGAGAAGAAGAAGCCTAAAATATTTTACGTGTTTTAAATCCATGTTAAATCTAACTAAGAGTGCGGTAACTATTTTTTAATACCATTTTTAAAAAAATTAGTGACGAAATGACGAATAAACGAAATGGAAAAAATACTCGTGTTCGTTCCTTCCCAACTGTGTATCAGACTCCAGCCCCTGTAATATCTTGACAAATATTTATTATTGTCCTGCACACATAAGTTTAGAAAAATAACTCATAACGGAGGCCTCGTAGTGCATTAAACTTGATTTTGATTAAGCTATAAATACACTTAATAAAAATAAGTAAAATTTACTTAAACATGTAAAACTTATCCGAAGTTTTGCAAAATTTATCAATTCGTAAGAAGAAATTTTGGACAAATTTTGCATAATGGTTGGATAAATTTTAATTAAATTTTCAAAAATTTTCTATTAAAAATACTACAAAATGTTTAAAATATTAAAAATTAAATTACATGTAAAATTAATTTACAATTAAATTTTGATATATTTAGTGGTGCACTCTAAGAAACCTGGTGATAACTATCACCGCGCGGTGGTCATATGTGACTCTACCGGAATGGTGACAGCTGCAACCACCGAACGGTGACAACTGCACCACCGCACGGTGATTGATCATCACTAAGCTGGTGATGGGCATCCACCCTCCGGTGGTCTTCTGCCACCTGCCGGTAGAGTCACATATGACCACCGCGCTGGTGATAAAATTTCTTAGAGTGTGGTGTAAAGACATGATTGGGGGTTCGGGGCATTCTTAAATATGAAAAATATGATTGCCTCACATTTACATAACACTAATAACTTACCCTTACGAATTTATTTAATAGAATATTCCTGCCTTGACTGCTCAAATAGTGGAAGAATTGACTTCATGGTGCAACGATTCAATGAACTTCCATTTCTCGAAAAGGAGGACAGGATTGCGGTCGCGGCGAAGGTCGTGTTCCAAAAAGCTATCGAGGATATCCACTCTTCCTTAAAATTTGTTACGTTTGTGAGCCATGTTATTAACATTATTTTTTATAACTGAATTATTATTTATCTGTACATACATATGCTTTTGAAAAGATTCATTTAGTTTGTGCGAAACAAGGCAGCAAGTTCAAGGAGCTGATTACAGACTTATTTTTCGAATACCTTCAATATCAAAGGGTCGTGGGGGACGATGTCAGACGTAGTAAAATCGGTGGCGTCCAGTTGCTTGGAGAATTGTTCGTCTTGCAACCTTCGATCTCCTACCAGGGAGTTGTGGAGTGCGTGGAGATGATGATGTGTAGGTTATGGTTTTTCTATTTAAGCTAGGCACGGTTCTTTAATAATTTATCTCCACTAAATTGAGAGGTAGTTGCAATGTGTGAAACAGAGAGTCGGTTATCCGACATTCGGATAAAGTATTCATCCGAACCAAATCATTCGGTTCGAATATTTTTACAACCGGAAAATTCGGATTCTGTTCGGATGGATCCGAAAAATTGTCCAACTGACATTTTATTCTCACTTCACAGCCTCCAGAGTTGACGACAATCTTCAAGATTTATGCCAGCTTTTGACCATCGTCGGGAAGAAATTGGAGGAGGAGACAAATTTTATATCAGAAAGAGTGAAATCCATTAAATCTGGTGCCAATTTCCCCATGCCGACATACGTCCCAAATCCTGACTGGATGGAAACACAATTTCAAGCTTTAGGAAAATATGCGGAAGACACAAATTTGTCCGGCGAGACGCGTAAAAAATTGGAGGTTAGCGATTTCTCAGTATGTACATACAATTTTGAGAAGTCTTTTAATAAAAAAAATTTATTCTTGCCAAGGATTTGATTCGTCTGAAAGAAACCGGTTGGATAAATGTTGAAGGTGGAATTTGTTAAAATGCGTTCAATCCGCCACCAATTTTAGGAAATATTCCCAAGATGCGGTTCCATCCAATACATGGACGCCACCGTTTAAATCGTCGCCAAAGTCTGTCACGACGAGCTTTTCTCTTGGACCAACTTCGAGACAAATGAATATGTAATAATATGAAAATTATATTTTTCCAATTAACAAATTTAAAGAGAAATCAGAATTATATATAATGTCATGTCAGGTCGCTGATATTTAATTAAATGCATAGTATCAAATTCACCAAACTTTTATTGATAAAAAATAATGTCACTAATTTTGTATATATTCATAAAAGTGTTCCACAGGCTTAGCGAAATTTGGTAAATTAATTTCATGATTACATATTAATCCATACCTGAGGCATCCATATTGTTAGACCTACGATTTTTAAATTTTAAAATGCTGCTCATCGGGCTTATAACTAGTGATTAAATAAATTGCCGTCCACATATGTATTTAGTACGTACCACTTGAGCCTAAGAATATGTCAGATTTCCGAGAAAATGAGAGAAAAATATAAATTCGTGAAAATACTACCAATTTACAGAGGTGAAAACTGCATTGCGATTCTTGAGACGGAAGCCAGAGCGAGGTGCTCGTCTCACATCAAATTCTCGCACGAATACATTCGAATTTTTCATTCATGAAATTTGCATACAAAGTCACTTTGATTTTTAGCTTTTTACTATATATGTACCTATTTAGGAAACCTATAGTAGATATCTAAGGGACGACTAGCGCAGGTTTCTAAAAATTTCAAAGCATAATTTATTCATATTTATGATCATTAAACAAATAACGTGTACATAAATATGTATGAATACATTTGTACGTACGTACAGTCTACATAAATGCATGCATGCACATATGTTCTGTACATATTTGGTTTAACATTGCATGCACTCTATACATGCAGTTATGTAGAACATGCATTCTTCCTATATCCAGGAATTTTCTATCTTTCTACATGCATTGTATTTACATGAAAACTTTTTGTTAACAAACAAAGAAAAACTGAACTTGCGAGTGTGGGGTAGGCATAAATGCATGCACAAAGGAATCAAGCCCCTCTCATTCACAAGGTGCCAGGGTTCCCATCACGAGAGTAGTTTTTGCTTCGTGTCGTCGTTCCCAAAATTCATTAAAGCATGATTAAGGTGACAAAAGATAGAAAGGAATTTTTCAGAAATGTTTACCATCTTTATTAAAGCAGTGTGGTATATTTCACAGCATATAGTACAGTAACAGCACTATTGCTGTACCATAACCACAACCATATGAATACATGGAATAGTGGTAAGGTAGTATATTTATTACGCATTTCACGTAAACTACGTATGTATGCATAACATTACACTATACTCATTACAGGTACATAACAAGTATGGTGTGTCTGAACTGAATTACACGAAATATCGGAAATTCACACAATAATTGTCAACTGTTTGAATATATTTATGTATGTATATGCAGAACCCTGGCTTGGTGAGTGAATGGTGTGTACCATGCCATCCCTACTATCATTTTGGCCTCGCTTTGTGGCACATTCTCTGCAGCTGTGGAATACTCTTAAAACAAAGTTTGTTATACAGATATTTAGTTCTCCTATCGCAAACTTATTAAATATTGTAAAAAACAAGACACAATAAAAATGCATTTTACAATTTAGTGCATAAAATTTTGAAGCGCAGAGTATTTAAAAGAAGCTCGATATATTTCATTTACATTGACCCCAAGATCATCAATATTTTCAATGTTTTGTGCGTCCTTATTAAAACTAATTGTGCAGACAGCAACTATTTGTAAATATTAATTAAGAACTGTTAACGTTTTAATCAAGTACATATTTTGACAAAACATGATGAATCTACCAAGTAGAGGAGTCGTTCATAGTCATCCGTTCCCTGCAGGACAGGAAAATCTTCCAGTTGTGGTAAGATTTTTGCAAATATTTACTTTATATATGTTGCATAACGCCCGGTTTGTACTTTCACCGTTCGTCGCCTAATGAATGATATAAATAGTTGGGATAGAATCGCCTACATCATCTATGTTATTGAGCGGCGAACGGTAGAAGTAAAAATACCGGGTGGTTAAGGGGCTCTTCATAAATTATGCAACGCGATTAGGGGCAATGAGGGGTCAAAATCTCCAGTAATATCATGTTTATGTGACAAGTTTTACAGGGGGCATAGAAAATCGTAATTTTTGAGTTATATAATTTATGTACGGTCCCCAACCTAAAATTATCTGTAACCTCTCCGAATTTGACAAAATTAGTGTCAATCAATTACAACTTAAATTTACACTAAAGAATATCTGCCAATAAAAAATCAAATCTCACAAAAATTAAATCACGCTTTAAACAATTTACCCCCCTGAATTTAGAACATCCCAAACTTGACTGCTCAAATTGTAAACGGATTAACAACCTATAATATCGAATCCATGGTGAAACGATTCAAGGAACTTCCTTTCCTCGGCAGCGAAGAAAATATCACCGTTGCGGCGAAAATGGTTTTTGAAAAGGCGATCGAAGATGTCCCCTCGTCCACGAAGTTCGTCACGTTTGTGAGAATATTACAATTAAATACATACATATTTAGATCACTTATTGAATTGTTTTGCTAAAATATTTTCCTATTTAAAAGATTCATTTAGTGTGCAAAAAGCAGAAAAGTATTACCGAAAAAAGGTTCAAGGTGCTCATTACAGACTTGTGCTTCCAAAACCTTCAGCATCGAAGGGTGGGTGGGGGTGCCAATAACAGGCGTGGGACGCTGCAGTTAATGGGGGAATTGTTCGTCTTGCACCAAGCGATGTATCACCAGGGAATATTTGAATGTGTGGAGATGCTTATGTGTAAGTTGAAGTCCTACAATTATGCACGTTTTTGCAGAGTCGTAAACTTGAAGCTGTAGGGCGAGTACATTTAATAAATTCAGATTGATTAGACATCTTTTTTCATGTATTTTCAGCTTCAAAGACTGATGATAATCTTCAAGATTTGTGCTATCTCTTGCTCATCGCTGGGAAGCAGTTGGAACAGCAGACAAACTTTATATCTGATCGGGTGAAATCCATTCAATCCGGTGCCACTCTTCCCATGCCGAAATTTGTTCCTCACCCGGACTGGATGGAGGCACAATTTCGTGTTTTAAACAAATGTTCAGAGGACCCAAGTTTATCCGGCGAGACGCGTAGCAAATTGCATGTGAGCAATTTTTTACAAAAATTATTAGAAGCATTGTAAAAACATAAAATTTTGTTCTTTTCAAGGACGTGATTCGCCAGAAACAATTCGGTTGGAAATTTATAGTGGATCGAATCCAGCAAAATCAGTCCAATCCCCCACCGAAAATTTCAAAATCTTTCCAAGACGCATTTCCTCCCAAGTCAGGGACGCCATCGTTTAAATCGTCGCAAGAATCTGTAAGCTCGAGCTCTTCTTTTGGACCAGCTTCGAGACAAACGACGCTATCAAATTCAACAACGTCGTTGAAATCAAATTCATCCGAAGTTATGAGCAAGCCAGTCTCGTCAACAAAATTTGATAGTCCAGGTTCTTCTAAATCGCAAATCAATACGAAACCGAAGACTGTACCTGTGCCGGTGGTACCCAAAGATTTATCCAACTTGGTAAGGTTTCTCTTAAAACTAGACTCTAAATAAAAATAAGTAAAATTTACTCAAGGTTGTGTTAAAAAGAGGATGACACAAGCAAAAGATAAAATTTGCCCAATGTTGGGTAAATTTTACGGTTTGCTTCTGTCATCCTCTTTTTTTACACAACCTTGAGGAAATTTTATTCATTTTTATCTATAGTGTATTTATGTAATCCTGGCCTTTTGAAAAATATGTGCACTTTGAATTCTGAATTAAGTAAACTATACTAAATCTAGGGTAACGTTGACTTGAGAAAGAGTAAAGCTTACCCTGGATATAGTGTATTTTACTTACCAAGAATTGAAAGTACGTAGAATTGAAAGTGCACTTATTTTTCAAAATCGTAACATTTTATGTATGTATGATGATTCTGCGACATAAAAAGTATATTTGCTTATTACCCGTAGAAACCGGAAGATGCCATGGTTCACATACTGAAAACCCTTCATGCCGGGAATGTTCCCGCTGTCGCTCTAAAAATCACAAACTTGCCCTTCGCCGACGATTTCGAGCGTGTCTACGCCATGGTCAGCAATATGTTGGATAGATCTGAGAAGGATTCATCTTTTCTGGCAGGTTTGCATACTCAGGTAAATTTTGGGTTATGTACGGCGTATCACAACTGGACCAGCTCGATTTTTGATTAGTCTCGGAATTTTCTTTTTTTCCCAATTGTATATTGTTTACCAAATTAAAATAATTTGAAGTTGCCGAGTGAGATCATGCTGACGTAATGTAAACGCATCTTAAAAATTTGACTAAATCTGAATATTTTGCTGCTACAAATCCAAATTAAAAATTATTACAACTACAAATTATAATTTTACACCTAAATTTTATATCGATCCAACGATTTAATTTAGCTTTAATTTAATAATTTTTTAGGTGGAAAACGAGCTAGCCCAACTTGAAAAGGATAATAGTACAGTTTCCAATAATGGAATGTAAGAGAACTACAGCTTTTAAGCATATATTTGGCTAATAATTTGTGACATTTTTACATATTTACTAGAGTTTCTTCCCCTGCCGTGCAACAAGATGATAAGGAAACCCAAACAAGTCAAAAGTTAACTGTTGATGCGGAAGTTGCAACCGATTCGGATTTTCTCGCTTATCCGGTGGTCAGACCTGAAGGGGATATTACGCCGAAGTCGTCACAGTATGGGAATCCTGTGGAGATCGGAGGTGACCTACAACCAGAAGCAAACTGGCAGAAAATGGTCGGGTCACTATTAACGCCCAATTCCATGGCACCCCCTGCACCTGCGCTGAAGTATCTCTCGATGTACTCGAATTACGACAGGATGTTGCAAAAATTGGGTGAAGAAGACGCCGAAGACCTCAATATGGAGATATGTAACCTCATTTTTCAAAGACTGAAGCTACGCGGAGGAAAATTAGGTGGTCGATAAAATTCTAACGTGTCAGGTGTGGACACAATTGAAAACTATCGCCAATGGATAGGGACTGATTATATAAATTAAATAATAAATCAGGATTGTTCAGTAAATTAATGATTCTTACTTTTGTTGACTTGTTATCCAACAAATTGCAAATGCATTATGCAAAAATTTGAAACATCAAATTTGAAACAACAAATCAAATTTCAATTTTATTTTTAACCTTTCCTGAGGAAAGTTTCCTCACACAAATTTATATATGAATTTCACACCCCGATTCATTTTAAATAATCGTCTAGTTCTGGGGTCTCTGCACGTTCGCGGTGTATTGTCCCCCCATATTTCCGGCGGGGTCGTAATGAGCAACGACAATTTTAAAGCTGCCATTGACCGCATAACCCATCCCGAGTCGGGCCGAGCTCTTCCACACGACCTGGCTAAAATGCCCGGCAGCGGGTTGAAACGCATTTTTGCTATAGTCGTACTTGGGTTCCTCGTTGTACCACATGTCGGTCGAGGTGACACCCGCCTTTTCTGCGGTTGCCCCGAGACCACTCCCACTCGCCAAATTTTCTCCATAGTTATGACCAAATTTCTCTCGGCAGATGTGCGCCATCTGTTTTTTGGAGGCGAGGTAATCCGCACATTTTTGGGCGGAGGTGTTCACCTGAGAATAAAGTTGTTCTTTTATGTATTGAAGCTGGATTAGTTAATTAACCTTTTCGTTACTTACATCATCCGCCAATGCTAACGCTGGCGAGCCATGTTTCGACCTGTACTTGTTATGCGCGGTCAACGATGCGGTTCGCCAGTTCGCTAATGAGGTTGAAATTATATTAATTTATTACACAAAATTTTATTATTTTAAAGTCCAGTTTAAACCCAACTATTTTCTACCACGTGACAAAATTCGGGGTAAAATAAAAATCGTTCAATAACCAAAGGTCAATAAGTAATGCTGGGTCAGTCGATTGGAATCGTTATCTTTGAACTGAATTTTAATATATGTACTCACTTGCTTGTGCATTAGCCTGGAATGCAACGGCCAACAAGACCAGAGCGACGGATGGGTAGATTTGCATAGTGAAATGAGATAGTTTGTACTTCAATGTGCTTAAAATGGATCAAGTAATTCGTTTTTATATCAGTTGGTTCCATTCTTCATATTTGAAACATCTGTTACCACAACCATTCCAGGAATAAATTGGGAAAATTAATAAATTAAATTTTTGTTCGAATTGGTGGTCTTTTTTAGCAGCAGTTTATGAGTTCTTCCACAGTTAGATATGTGCATATTTAATGATCCGAACACAGTATGTACATATACGTACATATATATCCATGTACAGTAGAACTGTAGTTGCGAGTCACCGCATTCGCATAAATCATACTAAATATGTACAACATATATATCCATTCCATCTTCGGCGACACGGACTTTCCATGTTTAATTCATGCATATAAGTGTCTGTAAACTCCCTCGTTAGTACGTCGAAATATGTATGAACCCGCGCCAATAATTGAGGTGACCCACAACAATAATTCTACCATATTGAATTAGTTAATCATCCCGTCAAGAGATTGAAGGTATTGTGCTAATATTTATTATTAACAAAATAGCAAACTAATCGAATTTATTACACCCGTGTTGACCTCGAATTTACTACAAAGTCGACTCGGGCATATGAACATCCTTCGAATATAAATCTTCTGATTCAATTTAAATGTGTGCACGAGTTAATTTGGTAAATATTTCAAGGTAAACAGTTATTTCTGAACTTGTCAAGTTTTCACCTGTACATACATATAATCTAATGCTATGCAAGGTAAATATGATTCATAACCTTAAATTGGTTTGGAAGTATATAAATAATCGGTAAAATGTCATCTTCTTGACAGCACAGGGACATATTTGTAATTTGTTAACAAAATACGGAGGTTGAATTTGTATCATGAAAACACTGACACATATTCACCACAACTTGCGAATCCAGAGGATGAAGGGTGAAGAATTGATTTATGATTGCACATATGCGGTGAAGTACACATACATACGGGTGTACACAATTTTAGTTTTACAGAAGTACGTATGTTTATGTAATAAATAGGTCCTGTGCTTTTATTGCTACACAAAACAATGACAAAGGTTCTGAACACATATGTACAAGTACAGTTTGTTGGTTAAGGAAAAAGTATGGAATATAAACTACGTTCTTAATTTTACATATATATTTATTAGCTTTGAAAGTGTTTTGGTACTTAACGCGGAATCATGTTCTTCAACATGTGGCTACACACCCACTTGTAAATATTAGTGAATACATGTGTACATATGTGCATACGTATAAAATTATGTACCTTATGTTCGAATTTGTTTAAAGTACAAAGATATAAATTAAATAAACTTTGACATATTCACATACGCGTGTACATACATTTTAGCTTTTTTAAATAATGATGCAAAACGTAATAATGAATACTCTGCAAATAAAATTGATAATCCAATGAGTAAAAGTCACAAATTTAACTCAAACCAAATTGATTCACCATAAGCGTTTAATTTAAGTACGTAAATATGCACAGTATGCAAATTTTAATGCAAGTTTAAACGAATTTTTTTTCAATTTTGGTATGGATTGAATGCCGATGCGGCTTTATAACCAACATTTAGTTAACTAATTGGACAGAAGTATCGGCCAATTGAATACATATCTCAATTTTTATTTAACCTTATTATGTGAGTTTTTAATCTAGTCACAACATTTTAAAACATAAATTTAAAACTTTGAAAGGCATTTATTGCCAAATATGCCATACATATTTATTACTAATTTTATACCATCAATTGATGCGTGTAGCTTGTTACATTGGGCTAGCAAAGACACACGTCCACCAAGGCCCTTTATTCGCACAAGTTCCACAAGTCAATCCACTGCAACCAACGTGACGATAATTTCCCAAGATGTTGGCCCGGTGTCCAGCCGAGTTCATCCAGGCATTCACCACGGCAGGGCAGTCGCCCTGACCGACGGCAATAATTTCGCCGACGCCACCCCAGTTGTAACCCGTGGCATCGAGTCGGCCACCAACTGACAGCTCTCCTGGGCACTGATGAGAGAAACAATTGGTACGCAGCATGTGGGAGTTGTGCTTGTAAGCGGCATCTTGCACCTGATCAAGTGATTATTAATTTAGTTAATTTAGCTACTTTATTATTTGTAATGCATTCAACCTGCAGATTGAAGGAGACTGGGTCAAGTCCATAACTTGCTCGGGCTTGGTTCAAGTTTGAGAGACAAATAGTGTTTTGAATGGTTTGATCATTTTGGGTTTGAATCGGGGTTCCAAAATATGATGAAGAATTGTTGATTTCCGAAAGTGGGGTCCCGATATCCTGCATGATAAAAACAGTTAATAGTAAACTTTTGAACCCGAATATATGTAGTGAAATAGTATAAGAAGTCCGAATGATTGACATTTCTTTTAAAATTACATTATGTACATACGACTTATCCTAAAAAATGGTTCATGAGTCGGCCTTACTTGGTACATAGATTTGGTTGGCAATTGTGTTACCAAATGCGCAGGCCAATGCGACGAGTAGGATGATTTGGATTGACGCCATCGTGTGAGTATTGTATGTAGAAAGTAGGTTCTTAACTCGCCAAGTTTGCAAGAAGATGTGATGCTCTCTCCATCTCGAACAACTCCATTTTATATAAAACTTGTTATCAACTGACGCGCAGCGACTAAACCTTGCTAATAAAAATTACGATCTCAAACTCTCGAACGGTCCTCAGTGTTGCGTAAAAAGTAAGTCAATATCTCGGTATTGGGAGCAATAAATATAAGGAGATGGAGAATTTATAAACAATTTGCTGGTTACAGGATTATAATAATTAATTGTAATAATCCATACAATGGGCAGGGTCATAATCCAGGTTTAATATAATCTCAAGGAACTCAAACGATTGTATAATTTTCTGTCATAATTATTGTGTACGGCTTATGCATCGTACTTTGTACAGATAAGGCATTTAATGACCCAGTTTTGTGCAAGATTGATTGGCATTCATTATGTACACATATTAAACCTGGGTTATGATCTGGCTCAATTTAGAGATTAGCAATTAATCAAGTATCTGGAAGGCATGAACAAATTTTTTATACACATATGTAACTTCATCCCCTATTATTGCCCTTTTTACTGAGAAATTGGCTCACATTTTACGCAATGTTGAGGAAGTTTGAAAGTTTGAGGTAGTCAGTTGGATTAGCAAGATTAATCTGCCCAATGTCATTTGATAACATACTCATACGTATATACATAGGTATATCTAAAACCTTGGGTTACGTGTCGTACATACATACCTAAATATGCTTGAACATCACGTTTTCGCCAAACATTCGCAACGCAAAACATTATTACACAAAAGTGAATACAAAACTAAAATTGTTTTTATTGCACGCAAGCCAGTCTTATAATTAACAAAATTACATTTCGGTCTATCTGTATCCTTATGATTTTAAATCCAGGCTGGGAATTAAAAAGTTTTGACCGTTTGAAAAATTTATTTCTGCACATTCCGCGAAATTACCTCATAAAATGTCAAATATCCATTTTACACGGCAATATCCTTTGACTATCTCCATCTAAAAACTTACAACTCTTCGAGACGTATGACTCGGGGGAAAGTTCCTTCTTAAACAGTATCCTACTAATAACAACAATTCTTCAATTTGTATCTATGTATGTATCCTTGTGGAAACATTGTATTCAATGCACACATATTCGGAAATTTGCTTGACAATCTTTATTGTCAAATTTAAGCACCCAATTGTTCTTAGTTTTCCATTAACTAATCGTAAACAACATTAAATTATTCAAGGAGGCTGAGCACGAACTTTTAATTTAAATTTTATCACAAACTCAGCTCTTACAGTGTCGGACAGATGTCTACGTCCACATAGTCGCGTCAATTTCATTTTCAAATTGTCACTGAACTACTGAACCAATTTTCATCATTGATATATCAAATTCTCACAAATTTAACGTAATTTCATAGCACATTATTAGTTTTCCGCTAAAAAATTTATTTTAGGCCAGAGATGTATTTTAATTCAAAATGAAAACAATTGGATGGACAAAAGTCAACGTCCAGTCAGAGAAAACATACAAAAAAAACTGTAATTTATAAGGAATGTTATAACAATTAATTTTTAATATTTGGTTGGGCCTCCGTTCGCTTTAAGGACGGCTTCAAGGCGTCGAGTCATTGAGTTTACCAAATTCTTGGTCACATCTTCAGAAATGGTTTCCCAAACTTCACGAATTCTGGATTTAAGGCCCGGAATTCCTGAAAAAGATTGTTTTCTTATTTCTCTTTCAATGTGGTCGCACAGATGCTCAATGGGATTCAAGTCTGGAGATTGGGGAGGCCATTCTAGCTTCGGAATTTTTTTTTCTTGAAGTATTCCATGGTGGACTTGGCAGAGTGTTTCGGATCGTTGTCTTGTTGGAAGGCAAATCGTCGTCCAAGTCCAAGTTTTCGAACAGATTCCTGGATATTACGGTCAAGTATTCCCTGGTACTTGTATTGGTCCATAATTCCGTCAATAAATTCCATTTTTCCTGCCCCACTTGAAGCCATGCATCCCCACACCATTACCGACCCGCCGCCGTGCTTAACTGTGGGGTTGAGATTTTTTGGATTCAAAGCTTCTTTTGGATATCTCCACACTCTAAGACGCCCATCTGACCCAAAGACATTGAACTTTGACTCGTCAGTCCATAAAATATGTCCCAGAATGTTTGTGGCTTGGAAATGTGGTCTCTGGCAAACTTCACTCGTTTGGTTGCATTCCTCGGTACAATAAGAGGCTTCCGGACTGCTCTGTGGGATTTCAAATTTCCCTTATTCAGTGTTCTTTGGATGGTCATAGGACTAACCTGTTTGCCGAACATCTCCTTGATCTCGGTAGATAGCTTTGGAGCACTAAGTGAGGGTGTAACGTTGACTTTGTTGAGCACGTGGCGTACTTCTCGGTGAGCCAAAATCGGTTTTCGACCACTTCTGACCTTGTTTTGGACTGAACCATTAGCTTTAAAGTTCTTAATGATTGTCTGGATGGTTGTCCTTGCTAATTTATACTTGGTCCATATTTGTCTCTGCGACAGCCCCCTTTTTGTCCACCCTTCCAGTCCTGAATGACAAGATCTCGAATAGCGATAGGAATTTCCTTGCGTGTCGACGCCATCATATTTTTCTGGAAGAAAATTATTTAAAAATTAATGCGGCATATGTTATTGATAGATTTATTAAGTTACCTGATTTTATAAATTGGAGAGATTTTTGTTGTTAACAATTAAAGTGAAGTGGACGTAGACTTTTGTCCGCTCAAATTTCATCCTCTCTCGCTCTGCACTATGATTCTCAGTTTTCCCAGAATTTTCAGAAATAACTCATATGTTTTATGAAATTACGTTAAATTTGTGAGAATTTGATATATCAATGATGAAAATTGGTTCAGTAGTTCAGTGACAATTTGAAAATGAAATTGACGCGACTATGTGGACGTAGACATCTGTCCGACACTGTAACAGAGCTCCATTAAATTGCTCAAACATACACATACTTTCAACTTCATGCAATTATGCTAATTAAAATACGCATGTATGTACATATGTACATACGAGGGGGGGGGGGAAGAAAAGTAATCGGCCTCGCCATGATCCGGTAACAAATTTGGGGTACTTTCCCTACTACTTTTAAATGTAGTCCGCTGCGAGGTTAACACACTTGGTCCGCTAAATTTCAAACGCTCTATCCCGATTTGATAAATGGTTTTCGAAGAAAAGTCAAAAACGCTGTTTTCACCTCATCAATCGTCGAAATCTCCTCCACCTGAGGTTTTTTTGAAAATGTCGAGATGTACACTAGTCACTAGAGGCCAGGTGTGGACTGTAAGGGAGATGAAATAATTTTGGCATTTTTTGGCGTAAAATGGCACCCTTCGAAAGTTTAGATTTTTTACTGGAAATTCGCCGTGAGCGTTTTCGTGAGCGACGGGATTTTTTTTCTCGTCTTTTCTCCACAACGGCATGGGTTAAAAATTCAAAACTGCGGTGTAATATCATATTACACCGCAGTTTTGAATTTTACAAAGTTTTGCATATTACTAATATGCACCAGGTATGGCCGTTTTCGGAGCCACAACGTCCAGTACCAGAAGTACTTCTGAGTTCCAAAACAGGTGGCCAAAGCCATCATAGCAACTTCTGTTCCCGGTTTGCTGCTTTGTGGGTGGGTACTTCCACTGCTTGGTGTTTTGTCTAATTTCAAGGTCATAATAATTAACCTAGGTTCATTACTCAGTGATTAAATGAAAAAAGAAGTACATGTTTCCGTTTTGACGGTCTAAATCAACGTAACAAACATGGGCTAAACTTTATCGATTTGGTCTGTTTCGTGGTTTTTGATCACATCGGATGATCTCCTAGACTCGGCCGTGACCGTGAATTTTTAAGCTGTGAGATCTGAGATATATATGAGTTTATCTTTCGCACCGACAAAAAAAGTGGAGCAAAATGACCCCCCTTCAAGGCGAGGCCGATTATTTATCTACCCCCCCCCTTGTATATGCGCACATACAATCTTGGTATTATCATTATTAAATATTTTTTGCAGATTGTTTTCTAAGCTTTTAAGCAAATGCAAGTCAAGTATTATGCTCTACCTATTTAGTTCCCTTGAGCATTTACATATTTACCACAGGTGCGAATCCGACACACAAAACGTTAGTTGCGTATACATAAAGTTTTCAAATATTTTGTACTGTGTGTTGTTTGTTCCTTTCATTCCCTCATAAGCGACATATTTTTCGTCCGATCTTAAGAAAATACTAAGATTATTAACCATTTTCACCTACTAAACTCTGTTTAATTTTGAGTTTGCCAAATTTCTTCTTCTTTGTAATAACTAGTTTCCTCTCGTCTGTTCGATATATTTCTAAATCTTTCATAGTGTAACCCAAAACTGTAGAATTGGGAACAATGGAGCCATCAAACCGTGAAGCCTCCGTCCGTCCTCATTCGTGTTGTTTAGCACAGTAAATTGCATTTCTATCGAACCCACAATAGCATTACCCGTTATCAATTTGGCATCTGTTCTCTCGCCCTATACCCCTTGTCGATATAACCTCGTTTTCAACAATATTTCAACCTCAAACCTACCAACTACCCGCAAAGTCCCAGTAACACTGACCAAGCAACCTTTTTCTATGCCTCGATCATCAGAAAATATCCACTCACAACTGGATATCCTCCAAAATAAAGGATGGCTTCGCGAAATCGTCATTCTATTTGTCACCATAAATTCGCCAAAATGCACAAAATCCCACCTAAAGTCGTTAGGTAATTGGATTACTACTCAAGGCGAACACCATTTCCAACTAAATAAGAAACATAAATTACACGTTTATCCTGAAGATTTTTATTTTATTTTAGTTCCAAGCAGCTACAAAATATTTGATTCCCATAAGAATTCCGTGAAATTTGCGGTGTTATTATTTCTCCCTCAAAAT